TGTACTTATTTTATACTATACTGGCTATGGTTATGCCATGATTCATTTGCCAGTTGTCTGGCTGGTTCCCATTATCTATCACAAAGGTGGCTAACATTTCAGTGTTGTACATATTGTATCACATTTGTGACTGCCTCTGCTCTCCTTTGGGATGAAAAGTGATATATAAATGCAAAATTATGGAAGGCCTGGTAGCAACCCCATAGTTAAGATTGTGTTTGTTTCGTACTTAAACAGGACAGAAATTCCTCCATTTTGCACTTTAACGATTGAATTTGGTTTACAATTTTAGCATAATAATCCTTCAGAGGGCAACTGAATTTTTCATATACTTTTAAAGTTTTTAATAACTATTACAATGAAAACACTGAAAAATGCTCCTTCCTTTCTGTAATTTTGTCCTGCTTTCCTCACTTTTTCTTAGGTCCCTCTAGTTAAAGAAGCAAAATCCCCACAAGTTTCAAAATAGGGATTACACATAGATCTGGATAATATCTTGGACATAAGATAACTTTACAAGATCAAAAGTAACCCACAAAAATAGTTATCCCCCTTCATTCAAGATAACCTACAGTTAAGTTTTCCCAAGATTAGCCTATAATTGTCCAGTTCTAACAGCAACTCCCATTCTCCAGTGCTGCAAGGCTCTCTTGCAGACTTATTGACTCAACACAGAGACCCCGTGGAGGCAAGATGGCAAGCAGGGGATGGGGAAGAGATGTAGTTCAGAAACCAAGATAGGATGAGCAAAAATGTGGGAGGCCAGAATGAGTGCTGCTTATGGAGACATAATGAGATATTAGCAAGTATGAGGACTAGTTTAACAGGGATATGTGGGCATGAGGGATGGAAGACACTTTTTGTTGTGGGGGGGGTGGGGGCTGTTGGCTTGATGGTCCAGGGCTATGCAGGGAGACTGAGGTAGGGATGGAGTCCAGTGCCTCTATGCCATGACATTGGAGACTGAAGTGCTTCCCAGTGCTGTTGCCACAGTGCACCAAAGAGCTGAGACAGCGGCAAGGATTGGGAAGTGACTGTTTTTATGCGGAGGTACTGGCACATGAATGGCTCCTTCTGGTGCTGCTGCTGCCACAGCTTCCTAGTATACCAAGGCAGCAGTACCAGGAGGAGCCTCTGATGTGCAGAAGTCTCAATGCAGAGGTTCCAGGCCCCATCCCCCACCAGACTATTCTAATCCCCTCCCCTCCTGAAACTCCTGTTCAATCTCCCCGTGCACAAGCGCCACATGCAGTTGAAGGAAGGTGAGCAGCCACACACAGTGAGGAGCATAGTGTGAGTGAGGTTAAGAGCATAGGAACAGCCATACTTGGTCAGACCAATAGTCCATCCAGCCCAGTATCCTGTCTTCCAACAGTGGACAGTGCCTGGTGCTTCAGAGGGAATGAACAGCACAGGCAATTTTTGAGTGATCCATCCCCCGTTGTCCACCCCCAGCTTCTGGCAGTCAAAGGCTAGGCGCACACAGAGCGTGTGGCTGCATTTCTGACCATCTTTGCGAATAGCCGTTGATGGACCTATCCTTCATGAACTTATTGAATTCTTCTTTGATCCCCACTTATACTTTTGGCCTTCACAACATCGCTGGCAATGAGTTCCACAGTTGACTGTGCGTTGTGTGAAGAAATACTTTCTTTGGTTTGTTTTAAACTTGCTGCCTATTCATTTCATTGGGTGGCCCCTGCTTCTTGTGTTATGTGAAGGAGTAAATAACACTTATTCACTTTCTCCACATCATTCATGATTTTTAGACTCCCCTTAGTTGTCACTTTTCCAAGCAGCAAAGTCCCAGTCTTTTTAATCTTTCCTCACATAGAAGCTGTTCCATACTCCTAATCATTTTTGTTGCCCATCTCTATACCTTTTCCAATTCTAATGCATCTTTTTTGAGATGGGGCAACCAGAATTGTATGCAATATTCCAGGTGTGGATGTACCACGGATTTTTATAGTGGCATATTTCTGTCTTTCCTATCTCTTTCCTAATGGGGTTCTTAACATTGTTAGCTTTTTTGACTGCTGCCACACATTGAGTGGTGCCACTTCCCGCAGCTCCCATTGGCTGGGAACGGCAAACCGTGGACACTGGGAGCTGAGGGGCTCCGTGCCTGCAGTAAACAAAACGTCCCAACCCGCCAGCCACTTACCCTGATGGGCTGGGAGCCAAAGTTTGCTGACCCCTGCTATATTTTAAAAGCTGGCATCACAAGAAATACTCAAAAGTTTTGCTAGAATTATTTTAATGTAATCTAACAAAAAACCTGTTATAATAATAACTGAACAAATATGTATTCACCTTCAAAATTACAGTCATTTAAAATCAGTAAATGGGTATTTAAAAGAAGTAATTTAGAACAACATGAGACTTTAAAAAGTCTTAAAATCCTTCAAAGTCTGAATCAGACTGATTCACCAAACAGTTCATTAAACTCTGCTTCAGTCACAGTTGCACCTGCATTGTCATCGTAGATGTCGGGAGTTTCGTCTTCAAAGTCAGATTCCTTATCAGCCTCCGTTGTGTCATCATCAAATATGGCATCATCTTCTGACCCCTCGAGTGCATTGCTGATACAGCATTTCCTAAATGATTTTTCTACCATTTCCGAGGGAATGGACACCCACGCGTCCTTGATCCACTGGGCGACCAGATTGATTTCGGGCTTCGTAAGATTCCTGCCTTTTGTCAACTTCGCCATGCCTGAGCACATCTATTCAGCCCACATTTTGCGTAGCCTATCTTTAAAGGGTTTGTTCAGGCAGACATCAAGCGGCTATAGAACTGAAGTTAAGCCTCCAGGTATTACAGCCAAAGTAGTTTTCATATTTTTGGCCACATTTTTCACCTCATCCGTCTTGTGTGCGCTGAACATGTCCCAAACAAGCATAGCAGATTTCTTGAAAAGTGCTCCTGGTCTCTTATTCCATACTTTTTCCAGCCATTCAACAGTCCCACTTTCATCCATCCAGCCCTTTTCATGTGCACGTACAATGACACCAGCAGGAAATTTCATGTTTTTAGGCAAAGTTTTTCTTTTAAAAACAACAGGAGGGAGCTTTGATCCATTTGCCAAACACCGTAAAATGGATTTTTTCATGGCCTGTGGTTTTAATTAAAACTGTTTTTTTCATCAACACCAGTTACTGTTCTGTTGCTCAGGAGATCGAATGTCACAGGTGTTTCGTCTGTATTTCCTATTTGTGACAGTTCAAATGCATATTCCTTTCGATATTTTATAATAAACCTTTGGAAAGATTTGATTTTTTCTTCCAGATCTCTAGGCAGCTTTTACGCTATCTCTGTTCGCTGACAAAGACAGAGACCATGACGGTTCATGAAGCGAGTACACCAATCCGCTGATGCAACAAACACTGACGGCTTTACTGACTTGTATTTGTCGTCTTTCGCATTTGCAGAGCACGCAGACGAATTCCAGTTCTAGTGACAATGTACCCATTTTGTCTAAATTCAACAACCCAATTATTGAGATCTTTCTCTAGCTCAGGAAATGAAGCGCACCTCATTGGACATTTTTTCTTGCTTCTTGGCATGTCTTAGTGTTTTATTTTTTTGCCATTCTCTTACTTGCTTCTCATTGATACAGAATTCACGAGCAGCAGCACAATTATTGTTTGCTTCTGCATATTCAACAACTTTAAGTTTGAACGCTGCATGATAAGAAGACCTTTCTCTTTTGATTTCACCGTTGTTCATTTTAAATACTAGTATGAAAATAGATTATTATTATTGTAATTATAGATTTTGTAGGACTTTATACAGGAATGTCACCTGCTTTATCACTGTCAAAATTATTATTGTTCTTTGTTTATTTCAAAGCAGCCCTGTAGATTGGCATGTCTGTAGGGATAACAGGCTATTTCAATTTTATTAGAGATTCCATCGATTCTGCACGTTATATTTTCATATTGGCTCGAGACTTATGAGGTCCACTTCAAGCCAATATAATCCACTAAACAAAGCCTTTGCAACTTTAAAAGGCTGCAGTATTGACACCAATAAACGGGTCGGCAAACTTTGCCTCCCGGCCTGTCAGGGTAAGCCACTGGTGGGATGTTTTGTTTACCTGGAGCATCTGCAGGCCTGGAGCCCCTCAGCTCCCTGTAGCCGCGGTTCGCCATTCCCAGCCAATGGGAGCGGCGAACCGGGGCTACAGGGAGCTGAGGGGCTCCAGGCCTGCCGATGCTCCAGGTAAACAAAGCGACAATGTATTAGATATTCAATTCAATGATTCCATAGAGTTTAAAATCATCAAATTTTGGTGTAGACCCATTTATAAGCCGACCCCTGTTCTTTGATGCATCACTTTTTTACCAAAAATATTCGGCTTATGAACGAGTATATACGATAAATTTTTATTTTTTTGTAATGTCACACACCTGCCAGTTTAGTTGACAAAAATAATGTCTTGTATAGCACCTGCTTATTGAAAATGCTATACTAATTAACTTATCTTCACATTCTCTTTGTAAAGATGCATAAAGTAAAGCAGAAAGGCTAAAGTGACTTGCATAAGATCACGAGTCAGTGGTAGTATCAGGATATAGTAAAAATGGTCTCCATTACTGTTCAGAAGTTGGAGGCAGAAAGTTATACACATCCCTACATCAGCATCATCTTCAGGAATACACATCCTTCAACAAAACGTATTACAGTTTCCCTACTGCTAAATAAAATAATAAAGTGGATTTTCTGGACAGTGAGTTGAATAGTCTTAACTCCATTTCCATCTACCTTTCTTGCTCTCTCTCAAACACCCCCCTCAAAAAAGGTGACATTTTAAAACTGACATACTGGAAGCCTGGAAACATCCATTATACTCAAAACAGACTTTACACATACATGGTTCAGTTCACTATTGGAAATCAAGACATATGGCATTGCTTTCTCAATCAGCTTACCACTTCCTGGTCTAAGCGAGTTACCATCTCTTCCAGCTTTTGGTGACCTTTTTTCAGGTCTTCTTCTGTCCGCTTCAAGGCATTGAGCTCAGCTTGTGCACGATCCATTTCCTCTTTCATCCGCCATCTCAGTTTATCACTCACCGCTGAAATGAGAGACGCTCGAATGGTATCCTCGCTGATGGTACCATCTCTGCTGGGACCTGCAGAATAAAATTCACAGGCACAAAATTATCTCACACTCTTTTGGATAGCTTTGTTACAGGGCCATTTGACAGAAAGTGGTTAAATACCTGCACCTTGCTTTAAGAATATAAGATAGGAACATAAAATGAATTTTTCCATGTTAATTTTCAGAAGCAATGCAGAGGCCACAATGAAATGCAGAAAACCATATATGAATTAAATTTAAAGGTGTATCCATACACTCAGCTCACATTAAAATCTAACCGTGCTTTCAATCCTAATTTTAAAAAGGGGCTGCCCATCTCATCACCAACAAGTGCAGTTGAGATCCACAAACAGTGAGGTTCAGTCTCTAACAGAAGGCTGAATTTATGGTAAAGTCTGGAGGAGCTTAGTATAAAAGATAGACAATCATAATAATTACATATTTGAATGTTAACAGCTGGCCTATGAATGTGAATTGGTCTTCAGATATTCTGTAGTTTGAAACTTTCTATCAACAAGGATGGACAAACCTAGTAAACAGCCAGAAGTAAATGGATACACCCTACATGTGGTATTTTAAACTTAATTCTGAACAACACACCAGACAGCTTTTCTATCAGAATATAACCTTTGATTGGTACTTTCAACACTGAAATAAGGAGGAAAGAATGAATGAGCAATAATAGAATCACATCCAAGATAAATGTTGGTTTATTTTTGATACCTTAAATTATACACAGATCATTTCTTGAAACCTTTACGATTCTGTATTAGTCCTTTTAAATTTCCTATACCTGTTACATAGTAGATTCTCATCTCATTCAAATATAAATCCAAATAGAACATTTCATTTATGCACAAAAATGTTTCCAATTGCAAAGTCTCTTTCCTTATAGGTAGGTAAAAAGCAGTCCTTAAAACATTACAGTGACAAACTCGCAAAGTGCTTTCTAATCTGCAGTTTTCCCCATTGTCTTCATGCAGATTAGACGGTCTTGCACATGTCCTTTTGATTTAACATGGAATCTTTATACATACAAATTCTGACACTTGATTTAACTCAAATATTATTTCCATTAACACTACTAAAAATGTTGTTTTCATAAATATTTGTATGCCTTTAGCACCAATTATTCATGTCACACTAACATCAAAACCAACAAAAATTAGTAATAGTACTTTAGTATGAAAATTGTATTTTACCTTAAACATCAACTCAAAGTGCCCCACAGCTTTCATACGCAGCCATCCATCCTTTTTCTTTCTCCCTTGATCTTTAAAATTAAAACTCTTCTTTTTGAATTACAATCTTTTCCAGGTTACTAGTCTTTTTTTTCCCTTTAAGACGATTTGTGTATGATTAACCTATTTGGGTGACAGTGAGCATCCATAAAAGACATCATGACTTTGGTGTGATTGGTCCATTCCCAAATTTAGCTGTTTTTATAATCTCCGGTCCACTGAACAACAAAGTAAACTGTTGTAAATTTCTGTCTATTCTTCCTAAAGTCTCTCAGCTGTTTTGTTCTATCGGTTGTTGTTTTATTCACTGGTTAGGGTATCCAGTTCCACAATGTCCCTTTGGAACACAGTCTCTGGTCCCAGTCTCTCCTTCTAGTTTCCTCAGATTTCATTTTCTGGTTTCGTTGTCTCTTGTGAGGACGTGACTATTTATTTTCTCTAGTGATATATTCGTTTTTCAGGAGTTTTGCATCCCACCTTCCATATTTCTTTACTTGTTCTAGTGGCTAAATCTGACTGAAGGCAGGTGCACACAAGCTTCTTTACTTCAAAACTTGACGGTCAGGTATTGATTCATTCTCTTTCCTCCAGATGATGGAAAAGTCCAGTATCGCTCTTCGACTCGTTGAAGTTTCCTGTTCACTACTGCAGCCAGTTTCTGACAAAGTTAAATTTTAACAGTCCAACATAACATTCACCATGTTCACAGCTCCTCTCCCAAGAGTCTCACCTCTTCTCTCTAAAAACGTATAGCTGAGCACATGTAAGGAAGACTGGGTAACTACCAACCAGAGTATTCCCTCTGCATAATGAACTACATGTCAGTTAATACTCTTTGATCGATTCTTAACACGCACAGGCATATACACACTCTTCACAAAAGTCTGCACAGCACTGAGTTTTAAAAGTTTTCACAATTCATTTTGTTGATCACTCAAGTATATATCTGAACAAAACTTCCCAAACATTGGCTATATTTAGTTTTTCAAATATCTTAAAAGAAACTCTTGAAAATGAAAAAAACTTAATAAAGCAATAATGATTGAGAAAGTGTGTTTCTTTGGGATTATCGACCAGTTGGGAGATATGTTAAGGCACATTTTGACCTCTAAGATCAATGGGTTAATCTCCAGGAAATGCCCTGCATTCACATCATTGCTGTTATTTTATTAGTATTCTTTTCATTAACAATGTTTGTAAACTTAAGCACAAACATATTACAAAAGAGAAAAGCAAAAGCATAACTATATACAATTGTTTGGATTTGAATATAGTGCAAGATAAAAGTTTGTATGTTGCTCCCTCATATTCACCCCAAGCAAAAAGATCAAAACTATTTGAAGTAAATTCTAGAAAGCTACAAAGGGATAGTGAGAGTCAAAACAATAACAAGCAGGAACAAGATCCATAATGTATGGGACATAAAATAAGCAGTAGCCTTTCATAAACTATTACGTTGCTCAGACGTACAGAAGAAGAGGTACAATAGTTTCCTATTTACACAATGTAAAAAGGATTAGATCTTTCCATAAAATGTGAATATTTAGCTTGAAGTTTATACAGTATTCATTCAAAAGTTGCTATAATTGGAAAAGGATGAAAACAACTGGGCCTGGGATGTTACCTTTCTAACTGCAGGCAACAAATTTAGATATTGCATTAATGCTAGGACCCAGGATTAGACTATCGTTTTTTGTTATTATTGAATGCCATTTGTGTGTGGGGGGAGGGGAATTGTCCAAGATTTCCTTTACACCCTACAGAAATGTTGAGCATACGTGCATTGTGCAACTGCCTTTCCAGATAATTAATACTTAGTACGTGTTCCAGATGGTTAGAAAGCTTCCAGTCATTTTAATTAAAAATATAGCTGATTAAAAAAGCCTCTGTTAATTCAGGAATTTGTTATTTAATAATCTTATGGAAGGACTGTTGCTCAGTCATAAGAAAAAAATAATTTTCCAACTGCAGAAGACTGTACAAAAATGTGAAATGTAAAACGTCAGTAGATCTTAGCTGAACGTATTTGCAAAAAACAAACCCAAAAAAACCTCTAAACTAAAAAAACAACATATCATGAAGCACAACTGTATTTTTCATAGTTTTCTCTCATTTAAGTAACAAAAATGAGATGTTGACTGGCCTATTTTGTGTATTTGCAAACAAACATATATGTGAACAATAAACATATGTGTGAACCTAGAAACAGGGCATTTGTTGATGACTAATTACTAGATGGGGTTAAGAGCCTAAAGTTTTCTCTCAGGTCCTACTCTTCCCAGGTGATTTCATGATTATTACCATCGTTCAGCTAAAAATGGGAAGGGGGGGGGGGGAGGAGCCTTGTGTCACAAAGGATGCATTTTTAGCTACAACTCTCCTTTGAAAAGCAGCAATTCTTACCGTAATTAACTGTTGTAGATCAGAAGTAATGTTAATCTTATATTTCAGTAGACTAAGAATATGTAGCAGTGTTATAATCTGAAGTAACTATTCAGGGTCACACTAGGTATCTATATTAGGCATTCACTTATAATAAAATTACTTAATATCTAGGAAAAGTTTCAGAAGTTTTTCTCCTGGCTAAATTATTTTATTTGGCTTTAGCAGATAATCACTTTTGCTTTACACACACATTTAAAGAGATAAAGTCAGCCAACTGTAAGAAGATTCTGTATAAATTAATTATACAATTAACTTCTATTTTAATTCAGTTAAACGAACCTAACTAATTTGGGCAAACAAAAGAATATGGCTAGCTGCAGCTTGATTGCAGTTACTCTAACTCATAGGTTTCACCTGATACATATAATGTAAGAAACATTTATAGACGCCTACAGATTACTGGGTAACTACACTCAATTAGATCCAAAACCAATTTCCATATACTTTCCAAAAAGGTTAGATGATATTACATAAAATATATTTTCCTTTGTAGCAAACTGGTAAGTGCTATGTAATAATAATGGTAATTAACTTGGGATGAATAATCATTATTATTATTAAACAATATAAAATGAGATTACCACAGTAAAGTAGTTATTAGCTATGTGTGACTTGTTACAGTTACTAAGCAAATACTATTTTCACATGGGATTCAATACTAGCAAGCGTGATAGAAAAACTAAACAATCATGTAAATCAACTCTCTGCCAAGATTTTCTTAGTCACTTTCTTTGAATGTAACATTAATGCATTAGCCTTTAGGACGATTAATAGATTTTTTTCTGCAGTTCACACTTTCAGAGTGAGTAGCTATATGTCCTCTGCTAGACTAATGTACATTTAAAAAAAAATTTAAAACCTTTCAATTAGTTGCAGCAAAGTGTTGCATGCCTACAATGCAGGAAACTTCAGTCTCTCCAATTTCATGTTGATATTCCTGCACTGAAAAAATATTCATTCCAGTCTCCATTATAAATCACTTTAACTGTTATCTATCAAAGAATAAAACACAGTTTTGCAATTTCTCTTATACTTCTGGTTTACACGTAATTACTTTGAGAGACACTAAACCTCAACTGCAGCAACAGGAATCACTGTAGTAACCTGCGTGACCAGACTCTGCAACCTTTATATGGCTGAACTTTGTACAGTTTTGAAGTCCTGTCGCTGCAAGGGAAACTTCAGAAGAGAGAGAATACCCAAGGAAGCCATGAACACAGGGATAAAGTCAAATTGTCGAAATACAGAAGTTGTCATAACATTATCCACATCATACTTTCAGGGTATAGCCAAACCAAATTCTCTCAAAAGCACGCAATCACAAAGCAGAAAGAATTTTGCAAATTAGGCTAACTCCTTTAAGAGTCACATCCCTCTAAAGACTAAAACTGAGAATATGTTCGGAAAGAAAGATATATCTTCAAGATCACTTCCTTTACTTTTTCACTATGGACCTCTTGACTGATGATTGTATATCCTTTCAGATTCAGTCAAGGGATTCCCTAATCAGCTGAAATTCATCTCAGGGAAGCAGTGCAAGGCACATACCTCTCCCTCCTCAGCATCCCTGCCCGTTAGCCAAAGTAAGCCAGTAACTAAGACCTAAAATTAAGCCTACTTTTCCAACACAGTGGTCCAGAGGGGAAACACTGTTTTAAACCCGCAAACTATTAAAAAAAAACAATTAAAGCTAGCGTAAATCAAAATATAAGAAAAATATTAGTAATTTTAATTTGGGGTTAGTGCATATCAAGTTACATCAAAGAAGTTACTGGATTAGCCAACTATAAAATAATTCTTAAATAATTAAGTAAAAGGTGAATAGACTGCAAAAATTTCCATTCTAAAATGCATCAGAAAATTTCTTCCTAATTAAGTGTGCAACACTTTCAATCCTGAATACTTTGTTGTACAGTAACTGCCCCACTCAATATTTCCTTACAGACATTTATTTTTAAAGGCAGAAGTGAATAGAACATAAGTTCTCTGTGGATGGTCCTAAACTCTGGAATTCATTCTCAACTGTTCTGACAGAGCCTAAGATTGCGGACCTTGAAGGCACACAGCAAAGCCCATCTCCAGTTTCAGGGTTTTGCCTAAGGATAGGGTGGATACATCTGTGGTAGTTTCTTTGAAATTTGATCTATTTTGCATAAATAGTAATTTTTTAAAATTAAAAAAACATATGATTGTAGTCATGTAATTAAATATACTTTTTATGTTTTGATTCACAAGATGTAACAGAGAGACGATTGGGAGAACAAAGAATGGCTGAACTGAAAGGAAAGGAACTGACCCACCATAAAATTTCCAGGTGTTTGAGGAAGAACTGGAGTCAGGATCCTGGACCTACACTGGCAGCACAAAACAGCCACAATGCCATCGAAACTGATTGGTGAAGGATTCTTCCAACATCCCCCGCTGACATGGAGTCACTGTGGAGTGTCCAATGCCACACACCCCCAGCCCTGCAGTAGGTGTGGGTCAGGGAAAAGGGGGAGTGGCCAGGATATATCTATGCCCCAGAGATCCCCAGCTGCCAGAATAACTGATTAGGGTCACCAGCAGCTGGACATAAATTAGAGCAGTCTTAAGGCTGCTCTAATGTATAACAAGGAATAGCCTGGTCCCTGACTGACCTCAGGTTCAGAGGAGTTATAAAGGTGACATAAAACCAACTTTCTCTATCCCCAAGCTGTAACGATGGCTAAGTGCATCCTCTTGATTAACACGTTAAATTAATCAAAACATTCCAAACAAAGTTTTACAAGCAACTAAATGGGCTCTCTCTCATACCAGTTTCTAATCTTGACTATTTCTCAGAAGCCTTACCCTCCCATACAAAAACAGCCAATTCTTCCAATCAAGAATGCCATTATACTTCATGCAAATCAGCATGCAGGTTGTGTGCAAAAGGAGTACCATAAAATTATCTGATCTCCTTCATGAGCAAATCCTGTCTCTAAATAATCAGTCTTTGAACTAGTACTTTGTGCTGAACCTTTTAAAATCAAAACTCTTGAGCCTTTATTTCATTTGTCAGCATCTCGGACTTAATAAAATCCTCAAGATAGCGCACATCTTTGTTGCACAACAGAATGGATCTGTTTCTGAACATATTATGTGTTCAGACTTATTTATTTTTAAAATAGTTGGGTTTTTATAGCATGGTTTTACTTGAAACTGTTTTGGCTATCTTCTCTGCAATAACATGTGACAGTACCGGAAGAAAGTTTAAAAGCAGAAAATAAACCACACAATCACAAGCTAATAGTCAATGGGCTGATACTTCAAGCAAATACTTCTGCTGTCAACCATGTACTCCAGATAACACAAGAACAGGAAAGACTGCCCAGATGCAAGATCAAACCTAATCTGAGATTTTGAACTCTGAAATCAAGGGCATCAGAAAATACTCTAAGATGGGTATATCCAGATATTATTTACATCAGGAATCCAATATATTTTTCACATTAGGGTTTGCAGTGCTATAAAGCTGTCTATGTTAACTCCAAAGAAGAAGAGACCTGGGTTTAGACCAGCATTGATCTCTACAGCTTCTGTGTCTTAAAGTTATAGATTAATATCCGGAATGTTGTAGGTAAAGACAATGCCACAAGTAATGGGCCAAGAACACCTACTCTGCACCACAATGAATATATCTTGACCAAGAATTCAGTGTATCGCTACCTTTTTGATGCACGAGAGTTTTATAAGGGAATAACTGTAAAAGAAACTCCTCTTCTGGGATGCACGTATTATTTAAACTTTTGGAAAAGGTTAAGACTGAGCTGCTACATCTGAAAATAACAAGGTTCTACTCTAAAAATGATATGAATTATTAAAATTTAAACCAACAGAAATTGGAAGGCTGTTACCACAGATTCTAGCCTTAACAGTGTATATATTAGCTATGCTTTAAATCAGGTATTTGCATCTTTGTGCCTGTGTTAGCTAGATTCATTTGGTTTATGACACTACATCTTCCATACTCTAGCACACTTACTTTGAACTTCCTGGTTTTTCTAGTAATTTCAGCTTTAAAACAGCATTCTTTTTACAAGTACTCTCATGTTACTGATCAGTAAATTTCTGGGGAGTAAATCAAGCTTAGCTAAATTATTAGTATTGGAAATTGTTTGTTTTTAGAATGTTTCCCGAGAGTTGCTCGATGAAAGTCTACATGGAATTTAGGAGCTCTTCATTAGTCTATGTTGGGCTTAGAAACTATACATTAGGCCTCTGCTGTCTGTCCCCCATTCTACTGCTACCCTTGCTCCTGTAGAGCTTCGAAGCTATAAACCAAAGCCCATGGCTCTCCCTCATCCTTTCCTTTCTTCTGCTCCGAACACAGAATGGCTCCTCCCATCCAGTTATTTCAAAGCCTGAAGCCACCCAACTGAAACAAGGATAACTGAAAAAACGCATGCAGTACCTATATCGTCAACTCACCAAACTCTGCTAAATGAGCCAAAAGGTACATACTCTCATCCACATCAATGGAATAAAGATGAATCAAGTGTCTTTAAGCCAAGTAATTTTTAGTTACAACAAGCAACAAAAGAGAGTGTAGAAAACTTTTCAAGAAGTAAAAACTTCATTTTTAGAACTCTCTTCCCTTCAATGAATCACCTTATCTACCCTATAAATACTAGAAAGACGTATGGCATATTGTGATGTCTGTTTTACAATCACACAGAAAGTGGTTTAAAACTACTGAAAAACGTACCTTAAACATGTATCACCAGTATTTCTGATCATTAATTTTTCATGATACAAAAATTGTAACAGAGCAATAACATTTTATATTTTTCACCAAGTAGTAATGGACTCATTTAGCATGTGTTGCATGTTAATTGTTCTATGCAGGATATGCAGCACAAAGTTCTAAACCTAATGGCACCTATTCAGAGCCAGTAAGTATTACTGTTTTATTTTATATATAAAATAAATACAAGCTTCTTGTACAATTCATCTATTAATAGACTAAATACTCCTAGTGTAGAAGCTGATTGATAAATGTTTGGTTCATAAAAATGTATATACATTATCAATTTAGGTGTCATTTCTAGCTCATGCCACTCAGGCACTTTACTGGTCCATAAAGACATCTACAATATTTTGTTAAAAGTTGTAAACACTTATCACATGTGGCAATGAAAGCATGTGAAACGGCACATAAACCAAAAGGAATTTCTCAAGGATGCTTCAATGCTGAGGAGACAGGACTAGCACTTTCTATAGGAACACCACATAAACCACGGAGGGGAGGGGAACCAAATCCTTTAATTTACAGTAATTGAATATTAATATTATTTACTGAAGTAATGAGTTATATACATTGTTTTATTATATTGCAAAGATTTTACCATCACTTTTATGTTAAATTATTTGTGAGGTAAAGGATGGGCAGAAGGGGAAGAGAGAAAGCAGTGGGTTATGGTAGCCAGGAGAGGTTTAAACATTCTTAGTCCTGTAAAGTTTCCTAAAGGAACAGAAGAGTATACTCACTACCAGACAACTGTAATTATGAGAAGTGAATTGTAACCATCCAGACACTCAGATCACGAATGTGAGAGTTCACAAGATTCTAGTCACTCCTCCTTTTATATACAATATACATTTATAAAGCAAAACCAAAGTCAGTGATCGATACTAGCTGTTTTCTGAAAATCCCTTATTTAGGACACTTTTGTACAAGACATTTTAATAATAAACCAGGAGGGAAATATCAGGGAAGACATCTTAATCTTAAAAATGGAAATTCAGATGACAAAAAATGTTAATGAAACACAGGAAATGGTGGATTTCTGCTAACTCCTTGCACAAGTAAGGTTTTATTTTGAAACAATCTCAATGTAGCTCCTTACAGAGAATGAACCCTTAGCATTTTCTGTCACTTCTATAATTAGCCCATCTTTGGGAAGATTTTATGGCACATAGCCATTAATCCCTGGGAGCACTCAGATACTTAACCTTTACTATGCAGAGTCTGGTTTCACAAGTGACCTTACAGCAGCTTCAGACCCGTAACAGAATCAGAAGGATAATGAATGGGACAAGACTGAAAAAAAAAACTTTGAAGAAACAGAAATTAAGCTCACTAATCAAAAAGCCTATTTAAATGTCATGGTATAACAAATAAAATGCTGTACACTTGATCCTTAATGACATACTGTATGTTATGCTTATAAATGTGACCTAACAGGACATTTTAATAGTCTTTCATCTCTACAAGCCACAACACTGTAGCAGCAAGAAACAAAAAATTCTTTATGTAAAAACTTAAGATCCGCAGTTGAGAGGAATACCAGTTCCCTCCTAAAAATGACTTGGGACTATTTACTTGAGAGACCACCTCTGTTCCCCTGCCATTTGGCACAACTGTCCCCTCCGGCCTGTGAGAATAAGCTGAGTTAAGTGTTGCTTTGGTTGATATCCAAGCCAAGAGGGGGAAACAGGATGAGTTTAGTAGGGAGGAGCAGGCTACACTCCCTGCCCTGGCAGCTGTGTTCCAAACCCTCCTTAGAGAAGGTAAGGGCTGCAGTGGCCAGTCCCAGCGCTGAAAGCCCTCTTATCTGAGGAATGCAGAAAGAGATTCTTGTGGAATAAGCAACTTTACAGGGAATGGTTTCCCGCAGGGGAGACAGACTTGGAGTATCAGTAGACAGTGGTATCCCAGAAGTATCACCTTAAGATGTTAAACTTCTCCGAAGATATCCCTTTTTCAGGGCATCTGGAGATCCAGCACACAAAACACAGGCTGTTGATAATTTTTACTGGCCTGGAGTTTTTGAGGCAGTCAAAAAATACTCAGAACACGTGATTCTTATCAGAAGGTGAAAAAAGCACAAGAAAGAGTAAAGCAGCCAAGAGGCCACTACCTAGAGTAGAGGAACCTTTTTTGAAGCTGACCATGGATATTGTGGGACACTGTAGTAAGGAGACCCAGACTGGAAAGAAATTCATAGTAGGGGTGGTAGATTATGCTACTTGCTATCCTGCAGGACTGCAGCTCTGTCCTCCATAGAGGCAGACACAGATGTGATGCTCTTTTGTCAATTTTCAGCTAGGTGGGCTTCCTCCCCAGCAAGTTCCTCAGGGACTCATTTTCATATCAACCCTTCACCAGGGCTTATGGGAGAAACATGGGGTCAGACACTTGTGGCCCTCTGCATATCACCCTCAAACCAAAGGACTGGTGGAAAGATTTAATAGGACACTTAAAATAATGCTGGAAACTTTTCTAGATCACATGATCGGGACAAGTTACTGTATCTGCTGTTTGCCTATAGAGAAATTCACTAAGAATCTAGTTTTCCCCTTTTGCACTGCTCTTTGGAAGGAGGGTGTGGCACCCTAGAACCAAGTGAGGGATGAGTGGGAGCTTAAGACCTCTCCTGAGGGGGAAGCAGTGGAATATATATTGTCCTTTCGGGAAAGGCTCACAGAACTCCTGGATTTTGCTTAGGAGAACCTATTTAAAGCCTAAGAGAGACTGTCTGGTATGACCACATGGCACAGGCCAGGTCACATGGAATAGGAAACAAAGTTATGGCACTCATTCCAATGTAGCAGAATAAACTCCAAGCTGCCTGGGAGTGCCCTTTAAAATCATCAAGCAGCTCAGTGAGATAAATTATGTTGTCAAGCTGGTCTATGGCAGGATGCATGTAAGTGACCTGACTGCTCAAAAAATCCTACCACCTCATTAAATGGTGGTGCATGTACAGCTACTAGTAACCAATGTAAGTAGTTATCAGTTCATGCATAACCAAACCTGCAATAATCAATCTAGCATAACACTATTCCCATCTCTACTGGCATGAAACAGGCAGATTAACTGTGGATCTACTCAAACTATAGTGGAGCTGGCACCCCACTATAATACAGATGTTGTATAGAGAGTCTGAAAACTCCAGCCTTAAAATGAAGTGCTTTTTCAGCCATAACTATAATGCAGTTAGTATACTGCAATGAAGAGCAAAAATCAAGTGTGATTACTTTGAAGAGCAACGTGAAATAAACTTTTGAACCCTGCCAAAAAATATGATAGAAGATGGAGGGGAGGGCTCAAAGAACCTTTCCTCCCATGGCAAGTCTTGCATAAGTGACAGGGCAATCTCAGTTTCCATGCTTGGGGAAGCTAAGGGATTGTTGCTTCCCTGCACCCCGGAGGGTGCTCATCACTCCAGAGGTGAAAGTCAATGCAACACCCCCTCTTTGCCATGTACTCCAATGGGGAACTTCCCCTTCCTCCCATTTATGCTTATCCCCATGTAGAAAAAACATTGTTCCATTGGGGTGGGCCTTGTGGGCCACAGGCTGGGAGAGGAAAAATGGTCACACCGTCCTATGGGATAGTGCAGCCTCTGCACTCCTCCCTCTCTGCACCAAGAAGAAACTGTGCATGCATGAGGCACAATCCCATTCTGAGCTCTCCCTAGGATGGGGCAGCAATGCACTGTCCTGTCCCCTACTAGGGTTTGTGGCTAAATGCCAGAATCTAACTAGAAGGATGCTGTTATGAAGAAAGAACAGGAGTACTTGTGGTACCTTAGAGACTAACAAGAAAGTTTATGCTCAGATAAATTTGTTAGTCTCTAAGGTGCCACAAGTACTCCTGTTCTTTTTGCGGATACAGATTAACACGGCTGCTACTCTGAAACCTGTCGTTATGAAGAAACTATTTGATCACCCTTGGATACGAACATCTCCCAAGCAACAAAGGCTAATGCAAATCAAATGCAAAATTGCAAATACATGTTTCAGCATGTAAATGTCAGCAAATTTCCAATGACTATCTTCTATCCCCAGATCAGCTTCAAGGGTACACATTTACAAAAATAATATATCAGAAAACAGACACTTATTGAGACAACTACATATCTTCATTAATATGAACAGAAAACTCAGACTACCTATTTTTGATAAAAACCAACAAAAATAAGAAAATATGCTAAAGAAACTAATCCCAACAATCAATATATTAGCACCATCATTTGAGATATTGTCTCCCTTGATTAGATAAAAGAGTTACTTACCTACAGACCAGAACAGGAACTCTAACAGAATTCTACAAACTAAAACTGATCCTGCAGAAGATATGTTTACATGCAGTGTGCATCACGCTCAGGCAAACCTGAGCAAAAACACCCGACAAGACAATGGTTTCTGCAAACCAATCTCAGTAACTCCATGAATACCACCAAATGGAGAGAATACGAAAGAGAAGAAATCCTGACAACATACATTCGCCACTGCTATCGCTTAACAGCAAACAACAAAATTTACAGTTAATGCTATGCACCTTAATTACTACATTTTGACCAAAAGTTGAAATATATAAACCAACAGATACTCAACCGCAGCGATTACCAAATACCGACTGACTGCCTTAACAAAAACTATAGCAACGAAGTCATATTCAGTCACAAATGTGTTGATCAAGCTGAACTATTTATATTATGAGCTACTGCCTTTTTTTAAAAAAAGTCTTAAGTGAGGTATTTAACTTTCATGTGCTTTTAAACTTTTTGAACTATACAGACTAAGTTAGAAACAGTTATGAAAGTATTTTTAGTATGTTTTAGTACCGACTAACATTTCAACAGGCTGGAGTTAATAGTCACAAAGACACTTTATCTCAAAAAGGAATTTGTAAACTCACATCCTTCCATGTCATGTGTTCATTAAAACACTACAAGATGACTAGAAATTAAAGGCTACAACTTTATTTGTAAAACACAATCACCAAGTTATACAAATTAAATGCATTAATCATCAACATCGTCCAACATCAAAAAAGGTATAAATATGACCGTAGACCTCGCCAGAGTGTAGGTATTTCCACTGGGGAACATTCTAATCCAAGTGTAGGGTACAAAATGTACCCATGCCATACGTGCTGGAAGTGGTTCTAAGTCCTTGATATGTACGTATTGAGCAGAACCTTTCCCAGTGCGTGAGGGAGTCAACCCCAGTTCCTCTAAAGGCTACAAATTTGCTCTGTACATGAGGGAAACCTTCAGAGGTATTCAAGAACAGAGATGAATACTCAAATAAGTCTTTTCCAATGTCCCTACTGCAAGCTTCACCAAACTAACTTTTAGGCTGCACACGGTCCTAAATTCTATTACTTTTGCCTTAGAGTCCTGTATACAGACTGTGGTGTTTTCTATTAAACTGCGGCTTCCTTATTCCTCCTCCAAAAAGTTGGCGAGGCTGGGAATTTGAGTAACGTAAGGCCAGAATAGTGGAGAATGAACACTCCTCTACTCATAATACTCACCTCTCCCCTGCCTCTGACAAGTGTCCTTTTGCAGGCAATTCCCTGCATAACCAGTATCTTTCTGGATGAAGACTTGATTAAAGACAAAATGGGGAGAAGGGGCACCTGGTAAGGTTAAAGCAGTTCCTTTTTCAAGTCCTGTCAAAAAGGGATTTCCAAATGAAAATTGCTGCATCAAGGAGCTATCAAAATACTGACATGAGTCTTCATTTAAGAAAATAAAACTGGTTCCTTGAGTCCATTGACCAAAATTACTTTAAATTCAAATTAATGAACGTTATGTAACACATATCTTGACAATGGGAACTGAGACAGGAGAGAAGATGGAGATTTTTGAAATATTAAAATTCTTTTCTACAAAATTTAATTTTTTAAACCTTAACTACATGGAATAATATATTTGCTAACACGTTTCACAATATTTTGATTTTTTGTAGCTCAGCACTCCCAACAAACAAAATTAAATTATAGTGCTGGTTGGCTATATGCAAAAAATAAACTGTAAACCAGGCCCAAAGCTTTTTCCCCTACAACAAAAATATAAATATACTGCAACAATTACTGTAAGGAAAATGCTGCAGTTTTCTACATGGTCACTAAGTTAAAGAGACACTGTCAAGCAGTTTATAGCAATTTAACATTAGAAAAACCTGAGTTTCAAGTGAATCAGTAAAGCAGTTTCAAAGAAGAAGAAAATCCACAATATGAGAAAGTTTTAAAAGGCCTCAATTCTGAAGGAGCAAAATAAAAGCAAGAATGCCTCTTACTGGTTCTGGAGCATCAGACACTTTTGCCAGGGCTACGCTGAAAACATCAAAGATATTGGGGAAAGCACAAAATTGTTAATTTTATGCTTTGTTAGAAAGAGGAAAACTGTTGGAAAGATGGAAAAGGACAAAATTGGTAAGGAAAGAATGTGTTTTCAATCACCTTTTAAAAAAACAAAAATACTATAACAAATTCAAGTCTATAAAAATAGTTTGTTATTTAAAAAGGACATTATGTCAAGAGTCTATACCTTCACAGTAACAAGACTGAACTTCTATATTAACTGTCATCAGAACTGTCAAATACCCTTCTGAGGTAATTATGTACAGACAGGTAAACAGAGGTATGGCGAAGTTAACTGACTTATTTCCATAATAAATCAGTGGCAGAGCTGGGAATAGAATCCAGAAGTCTCAACTCACAGCGTCCTACTCTGCAGACAACCTACCTTCCGATTTTACATACCTTTAAAGTTGCATACTGTGTCAGAAAATGTCATCGTGAATATGTCCATATAGTTCATATTACTGTATCTCTGATAATGAAATGCTTCAAAAAGTTCACTTATTATACATTAGGTCCTATAACAAAGCTACCTACTATTGAATGATTTTACACAGAGAAGATAGTGTATTTAAAAAAGGGGTAAAAACTATTTGGCAGTGTCCCTTTAAATAAGTTACATAAATTAATCAAATTAAGCTCAAAATAAAATATTAAATAGACCTTGCAGAACAACAAAGCTTGGCATCTGGGAAATAACATTTCATTTTAATAGTGGGGTAACAAATATGTGCCAGAAACACTATTATCAACCTCTGAAATGTATTCAGCAACCAGTACTGCTTCCCCCACATGAGAGATGGCAACTCCAAACACTACCAAAGTATCCCCATATCATTGGGAATCCTCCTATGGTGTATTCCCTACCCCTGGTGAGGTTCCTACTTGTCAAAAACATGGCCAATAATGTCAAACTTCCTCCAAAGTCATATCAAAGTCTCCAAAACACTCAGTAAATCCAGGTTGAAGACATCAGTACCACTTTGAGATAAGAGGACACCATCTAGATGGAATAAACCCGGAGACTCCGGTACAAGGGAATCGTGTCTGATCACACACCCTCCGATAAACTTCATAAAGTTGCCAATTTCCCTATTGACTTTTTTTCTGTTCTTATCCATGAATCTATAGGTCTCTTCTTGGTTCCATGCCTTTCGGGGCACAATGTTTGACCAGATCAGAATGACATTCTTGAATGTGTGCTTGATAAATCCTAAATCTTTCTTAATTCGGATGATAAGATCCACAAATTTTGTTGTCCCCAGATCATTTCCTCCCAGGTGTATCACCAGCACATCAGGATCTGGCAGACGCCTTCGTGCATGAAACAGAGTGGGTATTAACTGATCCCACATCATGCCGCTCTTTCCTATCCAGTGCAATTTAGCATCCTCCACTCGAATGCCCAGTTGTGGGCCAAAGCTTCTTACGAGTGCCCGTTTTTCTGCCCAGAAAACATACGAATGACCACAAATCCATACCTGCTTCTGCTTTCTTCTGGCATCTGCTATTAAGAGAACACAAACAAATATTAATGCTTTGGTCTGGACTCCACCTTTATAAACTATGTGGCCTAACAGCCCCTCAGCTCCCTTAAACATGGCTCACTCTGCCATACTCCATACTTTGGAAAAGCCAAGACCACAAGTGAGGCAGATGCATAAATCCTAAATGTGTCATACTCAACCATAATCTGGGAGACCAAGTCTTCTTCCAGTATCTGTTTAGACAAACATGTTCCCTCCACATGCATGAAGAAAAATTTACCTTCCTTCAGACGTCTTTGCTGGTAATTAGTGCCTGTACTGGATATAAAAATCTATAGAAGGTAATCCATGTTCATGTCTCTTTGGAATGGTCCCACAATGGCAAATATATATTCTTTGTCTCCTAATGGGATGAAGGTCCTGAAATAAACTAGGTCAGAGGTTCTCAAACTGTGGTCAGTGGACCACCAGTGGTCCGCGAGCTCCATTCAGATGGTCCATGGACAATTCCCTCTAAGATGCATGCCTGGGCAGCCACACACGAGAGACTGAAGGGTCACCCACCTAATTAGTGGAGCCGCAAGGCGTGGCTCCACTAATTAGGTGCCTGGACCCTGGAGAAGACGCATATGTAAGGTGAGGTGGTGGCCTTAGGGGACTAAGGGGTAGGTGGGAGGGGGCAGTGGGGTGAGAAGAGGGGGTGGGAGGAATTTGGGATGTGCAGAACTGCAGCGGCCAGAGAAAGAGGCAACTTTCCCCAGTTCCAGGGCTGTGGCTGCTGTGGCAGGAGAGAGACCCCCCCTCCTTCCCAGCCCCAGCTCAGGGGCTGCTGCGGCGGGGGAGAAAGGGCACATCCATCGCATTAGAAAGGTAAAACTACTGACATGAAAATATGAGTTGTGTGCTTTTATTTGTAGAACAAAATTATTATTACTTTTTTTTAATATAGTGTTTTTATCCAAAGCGCTTTACAATAGTTAGTTAATGGTACAAACAACATTTGGAAAGATCATTAAGTGGTCAGCCGAGACCCTCAGCAATTTTCAAGTGGTCCACGAAAAAAAAAATGTTTGAGAACCACTGCACTAGGTCTTGCCAGAGCTTGAGAACTTCGCAGACTTACTAAACCCCAGAACACCCTCCAACCCAAAATAAATACTAGCTTCATTGTTATTTTGGGAATACTCTTGCAAACTTTCCCCACAACTAACAGAGCGCCCAAAACAACAGATGTAAGGAGACCACTCCTATCAGACAGCTCTCTTTTTCATGGAGCTCATCCCTCCTTGCTAACCTAGGAGACTAATATCAAATACTGGAAGTCACTCAGCTTTTCAAAGAATTGTACTCCAGATACTTGAGGAAGTACAAACATATAAGCATAAGAGCCAGCCTCCTGGGTACTGCTGCTCAAAAAGTTCAGTGCAAGAAAAGACGATCAAGTAGCCTGTGCATTAAATCCCATGCCGACTTGTACATATCCACCCCACCCCCATCTCTCTCTTCATTCATTTGGCTGATGGACTGCATTACCTTCAGTTGCCACATCATCCCATAGTTTCTGAGTCTCCTGGTAACCAAAGTGAGCACTTTTGGTGCTGCCAATGCAGTCTGGCATTTAAAGCGGTAATTGCTAGATCTACTTCAGAGGCCAGCAGTACTGCAACAAGGATGTAGATTGGCATATGGTGCCTTTGGAAAAAGATGCAGTTTGAGCCCACCATTTAAATGAAATATGCCCCCCCCTAGAATGACACTGCTGATTCTCAAAAAGTAGGCCTCAAAAACACCACAGTCCCAATCCTTCACCATGACTCATATAGTTCCCAAAACAAAGTGAAGAGCACAAAAGATTTTACAGTGCAAACAAATACACATCTTGTGTTGCAAGAAAATAAAGTCAATTGCTTACCCTGAGTTGTCAGATTAGATTTACATTTTCCTCAGGTACCTCATTCAAACCAGTTTCAAGATATAATTTTGTTTGCCCAATACATAATTAATATACTAGGGATATACTAAAAGATATTTAGAAATGCAGTAAGGAAGAGCACATACTTAAAACTTGTTTGTCGTTTCTTGGTTTTACTTATGGTACTTATTTTGCAGGAGACAAAGGCTGTAAACATATTACAAGTGATTGCTACTTCACACACAATGTTCGGAAGGGACTGCTATCAAATTAGAGTTATAGCTCTATCTCCATTTACTAGATGGTTCTCTTGGATCAAATTAAATGAATCCAACAGATAACTAAAATAAGGACAACAACAATTTTTTAAAACAAACAACAAATACACAGATCAGTGCACATGCAATAAAAGTGTCACATTTTATCAAATGGGGAAAGAAAAATGTAGGGTGGCTATATGCATTGTTCTTCAGAAAGTTCACAAATCAGAGACTATGGATAAAAGGAAAACAATTTACCAAGTTCCTGACTGGAAGAAACAAAATACAAAATACATGTTAAATGGTATCGCTGCTTAAAAGTTCAGGTTTTAACTACCATACGAGTACGATGCAATTTACATCTGCTTCATAAATGTGATTTTTTTCCCCCTCTCTACTTACGGCTGGAACCTTCGCTTTCTCTAGAACTCAGAAAGAGAGACTTTCAAAAGTTACTCACCAACAGTAGTCACAGGAGGCTGAGAAGGGTAGTGCTGACCACTTGTTGTTGCTGGAAATGGACCACCAGGTGGATAAGGATAGCCCGGGTAGCCACTTGATAAAGAAAGTTATATTAACATTATGCAAGAATTTGCAGAACATCCACGTACATCAACTTTACATTAAGTTTTCCAGTGCTAAACTTTTGATTCCAAAACTTTTTACAAAGTTATCATACTAAAAGAAAGAGCAAGTTTCCTTTTCAAATACAATAAGCCACTTTTACAAGTAAAGGTAACAAACTGCTTCAACCTACAGGCCAGTAGAAACTTTACTTTCTTCTTCTTCTTCACAGGATACGCTACTAATTTAGCTTAAAGATGTCTTTCACAATTTCTTGTATAATTTTAAATTATATCATTATATTTCTATCTCTGACAAGTTATTTGCTGGTCAAATGTCCTGAATGTTTCGAGTTCCCTTCAATTGGATTAATTTATTTTATCATCTTGACGAACCACTCTTGGAACCATAAATATTTAAAGAAAAAGTATTTACATACTAAATTGCATTAGAGTTTTGATTGACACAATGACAGTAACTGACCATCGTACAGCTGTTAAACACAAAATAAAAAGTTAGTGTTTTTGTTGTGTAAAAAGCTAGTGTTAAAAGTTTATTTATCATATAATAAAATTATTATTATAAGTAAGGTAAAAAAAGTCTTCTGTCACAGTACCATTAAGAATTTTTGTGGAAGGAGAGGGAGAGAATAAATACACAGATATTAACAAATTCATTCATCAAGGCAATTGACAGTTTGGGCAGATGACATTTAATCTGTTTTCATTTACCCTTAAAATTGAAACTAACTATCATCATGGGAAGTGTAAATCTTATGCACTAACTGCCAGGATTAGGGCTTACAATTACTATACTGATCTGTACCTATCACTTACTTGTAGTAAATAGTATATTAATTATAATTTAAAAAATAATATTAGAGACTATTTCCCCAAAATATGATAATTTATGGCTGTTGACCAAGAGGGACTTTTAAAACTGAGTAATAAATGAACATTGAATAAAAAGAGGCACAAAAGATATTCATAATGATGTATTACAAGAGGAATTTAGCACATTTATTTTCTGAGACTGAATTATCTTTTAGGTCTTTTTAACATGCATTAAGCCAGGGGTGGCCAAACTGTGGCTTCGGAGCCACATGCGGCTCTTCAGAAGTTAATATGTGTCTCCTTGTACAGGCACCGACTCCGGGGCTGGAGCTACCAGCGCCAACTTTCCAATGTGCCAGGGGGTGATCGCTGCTGAACCCCTGGCTCTGCCACAGGCCCTGCCCTCACTCCACCCCTTCCCACTCCCTCCCCTCAGCCTGCTGTGCCCTCGCTCCTCCCCCTCACCCCCAGAGTCTCCTGCACGCCACAAAACAGCTGATTGGGAGGTGCGAGGAGGGAGGAGGGGGAGCCGCTGATCAGCGGGCTGCTGGTGGCCGGGAGGCACTGGGAGCTGGGGGTAAGGAGGAGCTGATGATGGGGGACTGCTAACGTATTACTGTGGCTCTTTGGCAATGTACATTGGTAAATTCTGGCTCCTTCTCAGGCTCAGGCTGGCAACCCCTGATTAAGCGCTCATTGGAGAAGAGCATTATATCAGTCAGAAAAATAAAGTCCAGTCTGCCAGAAGCAGTGACACTTGTGCTGCTCCTCCTAACAAGACTCTACACTGTACTCTCTGCAGCACAATTTTTCATACAGCTATTCTATACTATAGGAGCCCATCACTTGCTCCAAGACAGAAGTGAAATATGAGCAGAGCAATAATAAAAATAAACAAGTATTTCCCACCCAAACAGATGCAAGATAAATGACTGCATGGCATACTTATCAAAAGGTTTACATACAGTGCCACCCCATGCTCAAAAAGGGAGTGAATGAAAGCCCTCTCAAGTCAAAGTGAGTCTAAATTTACTTCAATGGGCTTTGGATCATACCCAAAGTGCAGATTTTATATCAATACAATAAACTATTTCCTAATCCCTGCATTTAATTAAAATATTTAAATATTTTAAAATGTTTTGCATAACAATGAATAATTAACAAAAAGAAAGATCCATTCTGATGACAGTTTGGAATACAGAAATTGCAGCCCTTCATATGCAATCATGAGAAAGGCAGGAGACACTAAAAATTGTAAGGCTAGACTGTTAATTGTTTATCAAATATGTAAGTATTAGATTACAAATTTCAAACAATAAAATGGACTTAACAACTATGAAAGCCTCCTGTCTGTCATACCCTCACAATACTGAAATGCATTTATTGAGTCAAACTTGACTTTCTACATTAAATTTATTAATACCAGCACCATTCTCAATTAGGGACATATAGAAACACTGACATATTTCTTACAATTAATTGTCAAAACAATTTTAACACATACATTTATCTAGCTTAATATTTATTCTTTAGGTTAACAGAAGTAATCACTTCAATTTTCTTTTAAAATTCAATAACCAAATCCATCTGGTATCAAGTTTACTTATACCGGGTAGCAACATAACAAGAAAAAGGCACCATAAGATAGCCAGAGAGACCTCTGTTAGCAGAACTTTTAGAGTACAGATTGTGGCAGAGGTGATGTTAAACAGACTTACTTGAAAATTGGAATTTGACTGTTTAACACATTTTCAGAATACTGAATTAATGTGCAAACTACTTTTTCCTCCAACACTTAAAAGTCATTAAAAACATTACAGACATTTCTTATCTGGAACAATGTTATTCATGGCTCATTTTGATTTTATATTGTTTGTGGATTGAGGGGAAAGAAGAGAACAAGGGGTATTCCATATTTGCCTAGAAGAGAGGTTTAAACAAAAAATGATTTCTTACGTGAGCAATCAATTGCATGAATTCATATTGGGCAATACCTTTAAAAAGCAATAGGGGGACCTATCCTGTAAAAACTGATCTTTCATATAGTGCAACAAGAGGAACAATAATCCAGCAAGGATCACTTTGCAGTAAGCAAATTTTTCTAACCAAACCTAACAATTGTATATTGGGATCAATTAGCACTAACAGGCTTAGCCCTATTCAAACTTTCCCTCTGCTATTGACAAGGATTGAATCCTCAATTTCTGAATAATACACTACCATAATAATTTAAAAATAAATCCAAGAACTCAATCTCCATCAAAAGAAGATACAAACGGGGTGTGGGATTCTCAGAAGCAGCACCAGCACAGCATATCCCCTTCAGTGACTGGATTTAAAGCATAACTTACCTTGGGTTAGGAGGGTGTCCTGGTGGATAGGGAGAGATTCCACTTGGCATGCCTGGCATATAGGATGCTAAACAAAATAACAATTTTGTACAGTTTTACTTTTCAAGATTTTGTTAAATGAGGTAGACATATTTATGCTATGATGAGAGATATTTCAATACACTGTTCAATCATGAACATAGTACAATGCCAGAATCAAATGTCAGTAACTAAGAAAAAAATGTGACTAGATTTTTTTCATGTTGTTCAACATTTATAGATCACATTGGCTTAAAAAAATTCATTGTTTAATAAAACAAAGCCTGGCCAGTCAATGCAACCTGCTGCTGGGGGGGAACCCTCTCAGAATCAGCAGGGGCTGGGAGGCCTGAAAACGCAGTCTCACACACCACTCTGACACTTTCCTTTAGCTGATGTTCAAAGCTGTGGTGGCAGAGTCTAGAGGCAGTCACATACAACTCTCATCAGTCAATGAAAACCTGAGGCATCATTTTTCTTTCCATCATTTAGTCATAATTTGATTTCATACTAACTAGGAAAATACTCATCCCTGTGCTTTTTTGCTTATACAAAACTCCAACACTGCAAATTAGGATATACACAAATTTAAGTACATTCTTACACCGTATTTGTTTAAAAAAATCACTAACTCATTTCTACAAGTCTACTTATAATATGAGCTATTATAGGGATGATAAAGAGTTTGTGCCTTCAGATGCTCTCCAGACAGGCTCCCTCTAGTAATTATATTCATACAATTAGGCATTAAGATACCTGAATACACTTTTCTCTTTAAATTAGGGATGATCTTGCACAACTATTTTAATTTTGCAGACACCTCTTTAGTACTGAGAATACCTTCAGCACAGAATTATTCAATAGCCTTTGCTACTATCAAAGTCTGTCAGCCACCATTTCCATTATAAATCCCTATTTTCAAGTTCATACAACTGTGCCATAAAGAAATTGAAAACACTGCATAAGATTTGTCATTTGTTTTCACTTCATTTCACCAAGTGGGAATTAACAGCGGTCTAAGGAAAATGATATTATGCTTACGAGATGAGTTATGAAAATTTGTAGTCTTATATGTACTCTATTTCACTAGCGACAAACAGAAAACATAATACATGAAAATGTCTATTTTAGTTCTAATCTGTTCATTTTAGCTATGCCTAGTACTTTCCTTTCCTAATAATCATTACATGAGTGCAAGTGAAGCAATTATTTATGTTATGAAATGATGCACTTTTCACTGTTTGATCCTAATTTAAGAATGAAGAATCTGTACTCCCATTCTTATTTGCTATGGCTTGTGTAGCCAGATTCTCAGACGCTGTTTTCATCTACACTGGAGTACGGAGAAGCACAGAGCCACACCTTCCAGCATGGTTTTCCCTTAGCTTCCTTCTCATAGCTTGAAAAATACCCACACACTTAACAGCACTCAGGTAATTAATCCCTTTATCTGCATCTTAATTAGAAGCCGCTTCCACCAGTCTATGAGGAACACAATTAGTTAGGATGCAGTATACAAACAGCTATGTTCTTGGGACAAGACATTTGGATTGCGGATGTGAAAAATACTAGAGAATTCCTATTAGGTATAGTCATACTAGAAGCAAGGGAATTTGAATCATCATCAACCAACACAAACATTCCTTAGTAGAAAGAACGAAGAGTACTTGTGGCACCTTAGAGACTAACAAATTTATTTGAGCATAAGCTTTCGTGGGCTAAAACCCACTTCATCGGATGCATGCAGTGGAAAATACAGTAGTAAGATATATACACAGAGAACATGAAAAAATGGGTGCTGCCATACCAACTCTAATGAGAGTAATCAATTAAGGTGAGCTATTATCAGCAGGAGGATACAGACTAACACAGCTACCACTCTGATTCCTTAGTAGAAATACTTTTCCAATAGAAGAGAAAATTTATTCCAGTATCCCTTTCCCATCCATTTGCTGCATCTTTTTAAGTTACTTAATAGAAAGTAAAGCTAATTCAACATCTGCAGTTGAGTTGCTGTCTCAGAGAATTCAAGAAGTAGGTGTTTCTCTTGGCCACATTGAAATCCATGGTTGCTTTATCCTTTGTGGTTGTCTGCACAGAGTTTAACACATTTTTATTAATGAATATCAGAGTTAACATGGGAAAAGAAGGTAAGATATTAGAAATTATGCTCACAACGAAGTTACCAAAAAACAAATACATGTGTAGATAGAGATTTTCAAAGCAGACTAGGGAATTTAGACACAGTCAATAGACTGCTTTGAAAATGTCAATCACATTTTCTTGTTTACTTGTCCTAGTATTATTGATATGATGTTAGATAATTTAAGAGCAAAAAGCAATTTTCTTCTTTATAAAAATCTATCCACTGTATATTCCCAATTTTTCACTAAAAAGGTTATATTTATTTCATAGTTAGATTATAGTTTAAAAAGTTATAATTTTTTCAAATGTTTCCTTAAAAGGAAGTTGTATCCAGCACATCCAGGGCAGCATACTAGCCCTGTCTGGTTTATTTTTTTAAAGTCAGAATTCACATCCTCCAAATATTTCAGAACCTCTTGCATGCAACCAGTATACTACAAGATGACAACAGCAGTATAAGGAAAATACAAATCAAATTTCCAACCTTTTAAATACTATTTCAACTAAGAATTTATATGTTTAAATGTTTAAGTAGCACTTTTCTGAACGCTGGAAACATTGCACTAAATAGCTTACTACTAAATAAACCAAGATTAGAAGCGCATCGCCAATTTACATGATTTGAAATTATCTAACTTTCAAAAACTCTGGTCCTTATACAGCACCTCTTAAATAATAAGCCCAGATTTTAAAAAAGTTTTATGAAGTTTCTCACAGTCCCCTGGTGAGAAACTGACTGGCTGCCCCAGTGAAACAGATATTACAATGGGGCTGTTAAAGGCACACAAAAAACAAACCTGAAAAATATATTTTGCTAGTTTATTAAATTATAGTAGCCCGAGGTATTATTTGCAACTATAGCAGGTAGTTTTCAGCTAAATTTGACTTTCAAGTTGACAATTGCCTCTTTAAGCATAGTGACAGGTTTCAGAGTAGCAGCCGTGTTAGTCTGTAAGCATAGTATAGTTCATACTCTTCAGTAACTCTATACTTGCACTGACACCTACTGTTAAAAATTAAAATAGTTCATGCGGTTTGCTGAGTTATTGAACATTCTTACTACAGGTAGATCAATGATGCCAACTGACCTAGGAGAAATCCAATCTCACAGCTAAAAAAGCCCCAAAACTTTTGCAGAAGGAAGAATGAGAAGGGGGTAGGGGAATGACTGATTTATGCTATCTTGAAAACAGGTTTCTAATGTCTTAACAGATCTAGCAGTGTCTGATTTAAGGCATGGAGAAACAGGAAAGAAGTAAATATACTGTATTCTCTAATCTTATCTCAAATACCTTTACTGAACTTTTATATTTATGCAAAAATCAAAACAATGTGTTAAAATACTCCAAAAATGCAAAATGTAACATTGATAAAGTCTATTCCTGTCCAAGTCAGACACTACGAATACAACAAAACATTAACAAATATGCTCTTGAATCAACATAGCTTCACTTATTCAGACTTGAGAATGCATCTTTAACCATGAATTAAAATATCTATTGTCAAGTTATGTTTAAGAGAAATATTCTGTTTTTAACTGCATCGGGGGATGTCCTAATGAAGCTAAATTATAAACTCAGACCTGGGTTGTCGCTAAGTCTTGAAGCGGATGAAAAATTCAGAGCAAGAGATACAGTTGGGATGGAATGAGAAAAAAGAACAGAGAAGTCAGTTCATCAATTCATCTAATTTTATGAATATGTTCCCTGCTACTTGAGTCAGTTCTGGAACAGTCGCACCCACAGAAGAGAAACTGCCAAGGAATTCAGGTCCCCCAAATGCAGTATTTTCAAGGAGTCTGCTAATCCTAGTGGTGCTACTATAACTCCTCACTTCAAGCTAGGGGAGCCCATCTATACATTCACATTCCTTCGTTAAGTTGATGGCACAAAGGGATGATTTCCAGTATGACTTGAGACTTCAGAATCCCAAACATTCTGTCAGTTGCACGGGCATAACTCCCACTGTAGCAAATGAGAGTTGTACATGCAAATGGTGATGAGATAATCAGGCCCCTTGCAATCAGAATGACACAATACAAATAATTTTAATGTCCTATGATAATTGTCTCCATGGGTGAAACTCAGCAATGACCTGTGCTACTTGGATCCTATTTAAACATGAAATCTTAATTCCCAAAATTCTGCATTTCCTGGTTTTCCAACATTTGAATAAGAGTTTGGAGAATTAATCTCTTGCACCCAGGAAGGGTATAAGAAGCACAAAACACTGTGGAATGCCTGCAACCTTATGTTAACTAAAGTTTATACATTTTAATTTTTCAGACGAGGGTGCCAATGAGGGAAAGGTGGTCTAAGTGGGATGGCAGGGGGGAAAAGGACGTTACCGGAGACATGAGTGGCCAAGTGAAGGCCAAGGATACGAGAGCAGGTCTGTGAAAAGGCACCCTTCCCCCATTAAACGATCTCAAAATACTGCCCCAACAACATACTCCGAACTGCTGCCCTTTCATGCCCCTACCATGGGCCTTTTTCAGCAGCAGTCCAACAACAATGGAGACTATGATCTCTGCTGATATGAACCTTGTCAGAAAGAGAGAGAAGCTGATTCAGGGCTGGAGCTTCTAGCGACAATCCTAAACCCGCAGTGTCAGGCTCTTCCTTTCTACTGTAGCAGGCAGTAGGTAGGGGGCAGATGATGGGAAATGGCAAGGAGTGGAGCACAGCAGAGCAGCAGATGAAGCTGGTCTGGTAGAAGTTTGGTCCCTGAAGCAGCTTCCCTTTTTGGTAAAGATCATGGCCTTTGAGAGAGTGGATGCTTTGCAGGCAGATACTGTTATCCTTAAAATACTTATATGACCCCATTACCATAGTATCCTGAGTGCCTGACAATCTTTATGGTATTTATCTTACCACCACCCCTGTGAAGTAAGGGACTGCTATTATCCTCACATTAGAGATGGGACACAGGCAGAGAGACTAAGTGACTTGCTCAAGGTCACACAGGAAGTCTGTGACAGAGCAGGGAGACCTGGGTTCAATTTCCAAGCTAATGTCCTAACCACTGTATCATCCCATCTCTCTAATAACACCAACCAGCTGCTGGAGAAGAACACTTTTCCTAGGGCATGGTGAGGAGGGAAGTGGGTTTCCTTTGAGCAGGCAGGTGGGTTTCCTTTGAGCAGGCTAGGACAGGGAAGGCATTTAGAGCAAGGCTATCTGTAATGCTCCTATTTTGTTCCCTCTGCACTAGAAATGTCTTTCCCGACTCTGCATTGCTGCCCTATTATCTCCACAGCCTTCCATAGCAAGCCTGGTCCCACAAACCAGGAATATGACCTGTTAAACTGCAGATTGTTTGTTGGTTGGGGCAGCTGCAAGCAGAAGGGACCTGATCACTGTGCTTCCTCCTGGCAGTGCTTCAACTACCAGCTCCCCAGCTAGGTGTGGAGGGGAGCTGGTTCCTTAGAGGCTGTGAGGAATGTAGCTCCATGCTTTCTTTGCTTATCTGACAACAGTCCAACCCAGGGAACTCCCTGGTTGACTAACTAAGAGTCCCAGTTTGGTGAACCAGAAGGTTCTTCAAACAAGGGCTCACCGCAGAGGACCTGAAAGCAAGCAACCATAGAGGCTGGTGGAGTAATGGAGGTAGGTGGTAGAGACAGATCCCATCCGCTAACAATAATCTCTCTCAGCTCACCTGCACACCCCCCTTTCCTCCTCTGGTCATGCAAAGTTCTGCACAACCTCCCTACAACCCACCACATCAGACCTATGAACACGATCCCCTATTAGTATCCCTAGCAATTTATTTTGAATGATTTTTTATATTCCCCCTTCCAATGAGATTTTATGCATTTCTGTGTTCCTATAGTTTCTAAATTTCTTCCACTTGTGTTTCTTGCTCTGTTTTCGTGTGTGTTTAAGGTCCTTACAGGTCTGAATCCCTTCCCCTCCCCACCCAAAAAACATAAATATGGCTGAAATCATGTGTGGAGGAATCACTGGAGTGTGATATGAACCATGGTATTTCCACAGAAGCTAGGTACATTCCTAGTTACATACGAGCCCTAAAAGTATTAGACTGAATTTGGCCCAGAACTCTTACACTGCCACTTGATGAACAAGTATGGGTCTGATTTGTTAACCTCTTCCCCTCAAACCTGCTTTTGGTTTGTCTCTTCTTTAGTTGGTCTAATCTAGCCTCTCCATCCTATGCTTGATCCTCTGCTTGTGCAATCTTTTTGCATTCATACTCACCCACCCCATCCTTCTGACATAGTGTAACAAAACAGTTTAGAAAGCCTTTAAAAAAAAATACAGTGCTTAAGGTAAGAGTTTAAAAGGAGGTTGCAAAAGTTAAAAAAAAAATGGTATGTGAAAGGAAAAAAAACCTCAAAATCGAAGGGGAAAATCAACGGAGTCTGAAAATCTACAAGGCAATTCTCAATTTGATTAACCAATGATTAAGAAGCCAACAAACAGAGAAAGGACACAGGTACTGTTGTCCTGGATCCTGGAGCAAAAGTTTTTAGAAAAATTATAACAAAAAGAATTGCAATTATCAAGATAGAAAATGAGTAGGGCACAAATAAGGTTATCAGAGGAAGTCGGTATAAGGTAAGAATGAATGCTGGCAATGTCTACAGATGGCAATAAACAGCCAAACTTAATAGTTTAATATGATCATACATTTCCTTCTATTAAAATATTATGAGAGCCAAAAGCCAAATGGTATTATGGCACAAAACAAAAACCTTTCAGTACTACAGAAACTGGGCCATCAGCTTTCAACACTACAGAGTACAATAAATCATTTGTCAAAATATTGCATAGGGCAGCAAAAACACTTGATAATGAATTGAAAATATTTTAAAATATATATATGTGCACATCACTTACTATTTGGTGGCCCTGTTGCTTGGTATGGTTGGTAGGATGATGAAATGGTAGGCCGAGAAAAGACTGGAGGTTCCTCTCCGAACACCACGATCATAATTTGAATCAATCCTATCAAGTCTGACTGGGGCTATGAGGGAAAGCAGATCAAAAGCTGTTGATTTTTTTATTTTTTTTTTGTACTAAAGACAGCTTAGTTGACTACTAACAATAATGACTGACTACCATCTCATCACATACCACTGGTCAGCTGAATATTTCCCCCCCTCCTATTTATAGACCCAATCTAGTAGATTCCAATTTAGTCAGCTGGTCCTACTAGCATGATGTTAAATAATCAAGAGGGAACACACAGCTGGAGTAGTGCTGATACAGAGCTAAACTCTGGACAATGTATGGTTCCACATGAATTACAGTACTACAATGACTGAAGAAAGACTAAAACTACCATAAAAGTTTAGTTATTTTAAAAACCTAACCAACACTGAGTCATGAAAATTAAGTACAGAAGACTAAACATTCTAATGTTCCAGCCCACATAAGGTGCAGTCTTTCCTCAGTTTGACACACAGCACAATAGTTAGATTGTTGCAGGTCATTAATGAGGCCATTAAAGATCACTCTTGGAGTAGCAGTGGCCTGTATTCAATAACCTGATTTTCACTGCAAACAGTATAAAAAGATGATTACATTCAATTTACAGCTCAGTGTCAGGCAAACTTCAAATCCAGAGTTATCATAACATGATTTGGAGGTAAAATTGTATCTTATTCCTAAAAGTATGCTTACCCTTATTGTTTCAATGGCAGTATAAAAAGCAGTCTTTATTCACATTATAGTACAGAGAGAACAGCTAAAAGTTCCAATATTAAGTGAAGTCTTTTCCCTAACGCGGGCAGAATACCAAATAGCAGAAAGGGACAAATACTCACAAGAGGTATCAGAGGAATGAGCAGAGATGTGAGGATATGCTAAATTTTGCCCTCCCTTTTACATATAAAGCAGGAAGTTCCCTGAGTGCCTTTGCTGCTGTTTCTTAAATTAAAACTTACAACATGAAAATACACTCTTTGCTTTTCAGGTCATGTCTATAAAATAGTGAGTGCTCTCTGAAGGAGAGTTCAGAATATGAACAAGTTATAAAAACAAAGCCATTTCAAATGCCATTTTTTCATCATCTTTTCAATAGGTTTTGCTAAGGTTTAAAAATTTAGACTGTTCTACAAACAGTTCATCTTCATAGTTTCATCTTAAGTTTGTCACAGTACTATAATTTTGTCCCAGGGACATCCCTGAAAATCTCTAAATTGTCTTCAATAACTACACTCGCCCTACTGCTCTCTTAAGGACCTATATCCAATCAAACCTGTCAGGAAAGGAAGCCGACATGGATTCCCCTTTTGAAACCACCAATGCTGTGCTCCTTAACTAGCCAGAAGAGTTGTCGTTAAGCAGACATAGCGAGCTGGCCAACAGTGAAAGTGATATACCGAATTTATTAATTTAAGGCAGTAAAAGTGACATTCAGACAACAGTTTTTGACTAAAAGTTCCAATCCAATGTCCATTCAGTGTCAATTATCTTTCTGGTAATGTGGTGTTTGATGAAAAGATCACCACTGTTTTATTGTTCAAAGCCAAAATGACCAGAATGAGTTAAGAAACTTGATATAATAATATAATGGAATTCAAGAGTAATCAGTTTGAAGGATTTCAGATTAATCATACTTACATGTTTCCACTCATGCAGATAAGGAAGATATATCTTTCCATTTGCATCAACATGCTTCCCAGTTTTAATTGTCATTGAACTAGTTGGTTTAACAAAACAGATTGGGGGATTGAAAGGGTAGGTATCCAGTAGCCACAGACATATTGGGATATTGTATGTGTTACCTAAAGAAAAGTTAAAAAAGGTCTGAATTTATTCTTCCTCCTCAACTCATTCTAACCTGAGATTTTTAAAATAAACTACTAATAATTACTCATGACTAGATTACACCATTATCTTGAGATCACAAAATTAATGCATGAACCAAAATTTGAATCACACTGAAGTATGGGTATGTAGAGTAAATTGAACTTCACCACATACATATTTAATGAAGAGTTCCTGCTTTAGCCATAAGCTCTGCCACTATAATTTACCACTAATAAGGTGTTTTGCACAAATGCCGCCCCCCAACATGAAACACAGAGTTCCTATCTCTAAATTATCCTTAGTCCCACTTGTGAGTTGTTTGCAGCCCTCCCCTTCAGTTGGCTGACAGCAAAAAACTTTTTAAAAATAAAAATGTTGAGTAGTGACAATAGCACTACTGTGAAATAATGATGTTGCTTCCCACACTATCAGATAGGTAGAGGCTTCCTGAAATAATCAAACAGCCATGAGACAAATACAACTTGTACATTATGTTGGAATTCCATAACACAGCAGAACAAACATCTTTTAAAATGTTACATAACATAGTAAAGTTTTTTTAAGAGAATAGTGATGATTAAAACTGAACAATCTACAAGCCAAAATAATCTTCCAGATGATTTGAAAACAAAAGAAAGATATGATGCATACCTCTATAAGGCACAGGAATGGTTCCGGTGAGGCTCATCAGGTCCCTGGATGAGCCATCATTAAAAACTGAAAGACAATACACAGTATTAAATAATTTTTGCCGAGTTAGCTTTGTGTTCCAGTTACCTAAACCTTTTTTGGCCTGTGTGATCTAGAAAAATATTTATGCTGTTCTTAAAGTGTCTCTTTCTTGACTATTACATATCTATAAATTGGTAAAATATTTATTCATAGCTGATTAACACCTAAAAATAAAGATTTTTAGAGATGGGGAAGACATATTAGAAAATAAGATCTCCTATCCCTACAAATATAGGACTGTCTCCTACACTCAAAGCCCGATGTGAAGATGCATCCACATAAATTACCACATAACCCTATTCTGAATCTAAGCTCTCATTTGAGGGAAAAAAACCCACACTAGTTCTTATGATCGTAAAGATGTCCTTCAAAATATGAACTGAATGCAAATTCAATGCACTGTTGTCTGCATGTGTCTACAGACATCCTGAAACAACAGTTCTGAAAGACAAACTGCTTATGCATCTCAGTAGGGTGGTAAATCTGAAGCACACTGAGGATACCTTATATGTCAACAGTGTTAACTACTTCACTGTGGGTAATTTTAACAGAAATATCAAGCTAATGTACTTAATCATGGTTGGACATAACGGCAGATACTGGCATAGTGAAGAGGAGCAAAAACAGCGGAACAGTTAGCCGGCGTCAAGGTTTGCTGAGGAGTGAGAAATTCAGGCCCTCCTCCCCCTTTCAAATTTAAAGTCACTTTCATGCCTGCCCAAAAGGTGTGGAGGGAGATACCTCTTCCTCCCCAGTCAAAAGCTTCAACTGTACCCTGATTGCCAAAAAACTAAATTGCCTCGCATGTCTTCCCATGTGCCCAAAGTGACAAATGCCCGTCCCAAGCTTTCCCCCTGAAAACTTCTACAATACACATATATTTTTTCAATACATAAACCTGCAACAGACTGAAAATTTGGGGACAGCATACATTTAATTTGCTATACAACCAACAAGGGATACTATACCACTTATATGGAGGAGGGAGTATGAGAGAGGTCTTGGGCAAAGCAGCAATGAGTAATTCTTAGGTTGCTGCCCCATAATTTAGCCTTAACTCTCAACGTAGACAGAAGCCTTGGCTACGCTGTGTCTTCACTCTTAATAGGTTATCAAAAATCAATCTCTCCAGTGTCAATTATCTTTCCGGTAAAGTGGTGTTTAGAATTGAACACAAGAAATTCCACAGGTGCAGTCTCACCAGAGCAGTTTAGAAAGGAACAAGTACCTTTATGCTTCAGGATATAAGCCTTTCCATTTGCAGCTCAAAATGGAATTGACATTTTGAGTACCATATCACAATACAAAATCATGTCTAGAGTTCTGTTCACTTTTCTCCCTTCAGTCCCTTTCAGGGTTATTTCAGGTTCTCTCTCCCAGTAAATGTTTTAGATTACTTCCCCCCAGCTGTTGGTTTGTATTTTTTTTCCCAATTTAAAACTCAGTTATTTTCTACCTGTTTTTAATTGCTCTAGGTCTCTTTGAATATTTCTCCCAAATTAGAGCTATCTGTGAATCTGTTTACTCCCTCATTTCGATCTTGAGCAAAGAAGCTAACTAAACCCAAACCTCAAACTACACCTCTACCCCGATATAATGCGACCCGATAGAACATGAATTCGGATATAACGTGGCAAAGCAGTGCTCCAGGGGGGCGGGGCTGCACACTACGGTGGATCAAAGCAAGTTCGATATAACGCGGTTTCACCTATAACGCGGTAAGATTTTTTGGCTCCCGAGGACAGCGTTATATCGAGGTAGAGGTGTAGTTCCTGAAGTGCTCCCTGGAACACTTAATACATTGCCATTTATTGCCACAATTAAAAAAAAAGTTAACGTGACAGCAGTTAAACCACTGATCGGTTAAGCAATTAAAAAATATTTATAACGTGCATTACAAAAACTCTGAAACTGCTTTCCTACACACATGAATGTAGGCTATTATGCCTACCCTAACAAATGTCAAGATGTTTCACTGTTAACAAGACACTTTTGGAAGGGGGGGGGGTCGATTTACTGTTCTTTATAAATAAATATAACAATCAGAATATCTTATACTAGAATGGAGCTGAATTTTCCATCTTCCCATAGATTCCAATAGGGCAACAGACTGACTATTGAGCAATACACAACAGTACAACTCTGCAGGATCAAACAAAACTAAGCTGTGAGGAACAAAGCACTTATTGTCAACATTAAAGGGGAAAAAAATTCCTGTGTACATTTCTTTTTGAATAAGTGTTCTCTAAGTTTTTTCCCCAAGGAAGATGTGATCCCGTCAATAGAATTTATTTAACAGAACCTCACATTCTATACTCTAGTTTCAGTCCTCTCCCATAAAAAGCTATTTAACGGAGTATAAAACAACAAAAATAAAAACTTATTACCAGATATAGGCACCAGTTGCCAACTAAATTTTACTAATTGCAAACTTTAAAGCTGAGGAAATGCCATGCAAATACACTACACATTTAAATCAGAAACAAGAGAAGATTTTCTTATGCACAAACTCACCATATGCATCCATTACAGGTTTGAGGTCTTTGTACTGGGTAATAACACTGGTGGTTTCCTGCACCGTCAGATCTCTATACTTATACTGAAAAACAAAAGCATTTAATGCCCGTGTAGCCTTTAAGATGCAAAGCCATAAATTCTATAAAGTTCTGTCTTACATTGGTTTTCTTGGAGACAAGCAGATTGGTCAAAAATTGCATTTGCAAGGCTCTAAGTGAAGCACTTATCTACAAAAGTCAAATCCTTAAAAAAAAAAAAATCACCTTTTTAGTTTGCAAAAATCATGTATGTAATGTTATGGTTAAAGTTCAGACTAGTTGTAAATCAGAAGAGTAGAATCAAAGCTGTCCCATGTGGAAAAGACCTAGCGAGTTATCAAATCTATTTTCCCACTATATATGATGTAACCATACAAAAGTTTACAACATGTCTTCCCATTAAGGCCTTTTTATTTATACTACAAAGCCAAAACAGAACAAAAGCAAAGGAAAATTAACCAGAAAAATGCTAAAAAGCATTTTTGGGACTGGTGGTATTTGTGGTTTTAAGAAATCTTTCTCAACCTGCATAACGAGCATGATGGATATAGCAATTCCATGCAGTGTCTTTGGGGACCATGCTGTTCTAAATGTTTGGTATTACAGTGGACTAGGGCGATCGTATGCTACTCCTGAGGGAATTTTGGGCCAAAAAAATTAAAAATTCTGCAAAATTCTGCATATTTTATTTGTCAAAACAACACAATGTAATCATGCGAGTTTCAATTATTTTGGTAATTTATTTCAAAATACCTAGCAGCAACTATGTCTGTAACAATACAGACAAAAAAAAAATTCAGGAAATGTTTTTTGACAAATAGATTTCTTACTAGGAATATTAATACAGAATTCTGAATAATAATTCATTTAAACTACAATACAGAAGGGTATTTCCTGCACCCCTCAGAAGCAGTGCATAGGCTTGGGGAAGTCAGGGGTAATGGAGGAGCTGAGCAAGAGAGAAATAATTGTTGGGAAGGAGCCTGAGTGTGAACTTGGAGGGTTGTTGGGTGTGGGAAAAGTATGGAACAGGGTTTTTGGTTTGTTTTTTTGAGGGGGCGGAGGGCTGTTAGGGAGCCTCCCCATGCAGACTCTGGCTGATTCCTAGCTTCTCTCATTCAGTCAGGCACATCTGCCCCATCCCCATGTGCCCTGGCACCCCCCTCAGCCACCCCCTCCCCTATCCCCATGTGTCTTTGGTCTACTAGGTTGCCATAAGACAGAGGGTGATCTTTGGTAAGTTTTTATCATGTGTATAGGAACTTTTATTATTTTTTATATCATCTCTGTGGTGCTGTTACTTTAAAGGTGCTTGCTTAAAAATGGCTGTGTGGTAACTTGTAACTTCTGGCAATACACTGTTCATTGCCCTTGGAGAGAAAGCAATTCACAGGCACTGGGCTTTAGGTGGACTGGCTTTCTGGGGATACCACAGTGTAAGGCAGGGAGATGTGCAGCCTTAAAACCCTCAGTCACACAGGAGTGGGAACAGGGCCCCTACCCAAGAGAGATCATGTCTGGGAGCTGGAAACATTAAGTGGGTGCCCTCAAGGAACCTGACAGGAGGAATACAGAGTGCAGTGAACCATGACAAGTACTTAAACTTGTTTTGATACTCAGCTATATAACATTTGTAACTCATAAAATATGTAAATGAAGCTCAGTGTGATGTGAAATATTTGTTCAACATACAAACTTATGTAGAAAGTAACCATATTCACAATTCCTACTGGGACAGCAGATGCTCTTTGCTGCTAGAACATACGTATGTGCAGGGACACAGTGGTGAAGGCCACAAGAAGCATGGTGCCACCCATTTCAGGTTGTGCCAGTGAGAGCACGATTTTCAACCAGTGCTAGGGTGCATGGATTCAGGAGCACTGCTTATACTGACCGTTCAAACTGAGCTAGAGGCAAGTATTTTTATGTTTAAGTTCAATTTTTATTTGAAGTGTGTAAGTGGCATTTGTGAGGAACACAGAGTGAGGAATCCCCCTTTAGAGAGGGGATAATGTGGAGACAGGGTGACGTCAGTCTAATGGTGAGTGGAGGCAGGAATGTCTTCTCCTCATAAAAAAGTCAAGCAGAAGAGATGTCTACAAAGAGTTGTGGGCCTGGAAAGGGTACAGGTAGTCCCAGGCTCCAGGAGCACACCAAGTCAGCATAACAGCAGCAGTACTGCTGTCTCATGGCCCACCCCTTTTGTACGGTCTGAACCTACTCCCATAGCAGCAGGGAGAAGCTGATGTCATGGAGATCTGTAAAAATAGGCAGTCTACCATATAATTCAATAGTTCTCAAACTAGGGTTCATGAATCATCAACAGTCCACAAATCATATGCTCATGGGCAGCAGAAAGCTAGCTTGGCATATGATCATGTCTCGTCTCCAACTGCTAACCTATACCAAGAAAGGTATACACTACTTTTCTAATATTCTTCCATGTGACAATTACAGTAATTGGTGTTCATATAACATCCCTGTAGCAATGTGAGGGAGGTATGCATGCAACTATAAATGGAAAGGAAGAGTCCAACACTACAAAAAAGTTTCAGAACCCAAGTGTAAACACCACAAAGCACTTACTGAATACTATTGATGTTTAGCAGTCTCAAATTAGTTCAAATGTAGTCCCTGAGTAACAAACTTGTTATCTAAACCAAAGGGATATCGCTGGTCCTATAACTGCTCATACAAGTAACAACACTGAAGGGCTACCTTTTTCTTAAAAAGAACAGGGGTACTTGTGGCACCTTAGAGACTAACAAATTTATTTGAGCATAAACTTTCGTGGGCTACAGCCCACTTCATCAGATGCATAGAATGGAACATATAGTAAGAAAATATATATACATACAGAGAACATGAAAAGGTGGAAGTTGCCATACCAACTCTAAGAGGCTAATTAATTAAGATGAGCTATTATCAGCAGGAGAAAAAAAACTTTTGTAGTGATAATCAAGATGGCCCATTCCAGACAGTTGACAAGAAGGTGTGAGGATACTGAACGTGGGGAAATAGATTCAATTTGTGTAATAACCCAGCCACTCCCAGTCTCTATTCAAGCCCAAGTTAATGTCTAGTTCACAAATTAATTCTAGTTCAGCAGTTTCTCGTTGGAGTCTGTTTTTAAAGCTTTTCTGTTTCAAAATTGCCACCTTTAAGTCTGGCCGTGGCTACACTCGAAACTTCAAAATGCTGCTGCAGGAGCGCTCCCGCAGCAGCGCTTTGAAGTGCAAGTGTGGTCGCACGCGAGCGCTGCAGGTACTCCACCTCCACGAGGGTATTAGCACTGTTTACACTGGCGCTTTACAGCGCTGTAACTTGCTGCACTCAGGGAGGTGTTTTTTCACACCCCTGAGCGAGAAAGTTGCAGTGCTGTAATGTGCCAGTGAAGCCATAGTCTCTGTTACTGAGTGACCAGAGAGGCTGAAGTATTCTCCTACTGGTTTTTGAATGTTATAATTCTTGATGTCTGATTTGTGTCCATTTATTCTTTTGCGTAGAGACTGTGCGGTTTGGCCAATGTACATGGCAGAGGGGCATTGCTGGCACATGATGGCATAGATCACATTGGTAGATGTGTAGGTGAACGAGCCCCTGATGGCGTGGCTGATGTGATTAGGTCCTATGATGGTGTCACTTGAATAGATATGTGGACAGAGTTGGCATCGGGCTTTGTTGAAAGGATAGACAGAGACAAACACCTACAAGAACTTCAAAAAGATCTCACAAAACTAAGTGAGATTGGGCAACAAAATGGCAAATGAAATTTAATGTGGATAAATGTAAACTAATGCACATTGGAAAAAATAACCCCAACTATACATACAATATGATGGGGGCTAATTTAGCTAGAACAAATCAGAAAAAAGATCTTGGAGTCATTGTGGATAGTTCTCTGAAGACGTCCATGCAGTGTGCAGAGGCGGTCAAAAAAGCAAACAGGATGTTAGGAATCATTAAAAAGGGGATAGAGAATAAGACGGAGAATATATTATTGCCCTTATATAAGCCAATGGTATGCCCACATCTTGAATACTACGTACAGATGTGGTCTCCTCATCTCAAAAAAGATATACTGACACTAGAAAATGTTCAGAGAAGGGCAACTAAAATGATTAGGGGTTTGGAACAGGTCCTATATGAGGAGAGATTAAAGAGGCTAGGACTTTTCAGCATGGAAAAGAGGAGATGGGGGGGTATGATAGAAGTATATAAAATCATGAGTGATGTGGAGAAAGTAGATAAGGAAAAGTTATTTACTTATTCCCACAATACAAGAACTAGGGGCCACCAAATGAAATTAATGGGCAGCAGGTTTAAAACAAATAAAAGGAAGTTCTTCACACAGCACAGTCAACTTGTGGAACTCCTTGCCTGAGGAGGCTGTGAAAGCTAGGACTATCACAGGGTTGAAAAGAGAACTAGATAAATTCATGGAGGTTAAATCCATTAATAGCTATTAGCCAGGATGGGTAAGGAATGGTGTCCCTAGCCTCTGTTTGTCAGAGGGTGGAGATGGACGGCAGGAGAGAGATCACTTGATCATTACCTGTTATGTTCAATCTCTCTGGGTCACCTGGCAATGGCCACTGTCGGTAGACAGAATACTGGGCTAGATGGACCCTTGGTCTGACCCAGTACGGCCGTTCTTATGATCTCTATCAAGCATTCTTAAAACTACAATACCCACATGCTGAAGTGAAAAAAACAGATTGACAGGGCCAGAAGAATACCCAGAAGTCACCTACTACAGGACAGGCCCAACAAAGAAAATAACAGAACGCCACTAGCCATCCCCTTCAGCCCCCAACTAAAACCTTTCCAGCGCTTCATCAAAGATCTACAACCTATCCTGAAAGACAATCCCTCACACTCAGATCCTGGGAGACAGACCAGTCCTCGCTTACCGACAGCCCCCCAACCTGAAGCAAATACTCACCGGAAACCACACAACAAAAACTCTAACCCAGGAACCTAGACTTTATATTATTTTTATTACAAATGTGCACTGTAAATATTATTAACAAAAAAATAGTATTTTTCAATTTACCTCAGACAAGCATCTTACTGCAATCTCTTTATCGTGAAAGCGCAACTTACAAACGTAGATTTTTTTGTTTGTTACATAACTACACTCAAAAACAAAACAAAGTCCACTCAGTCCTACTTCTTGTTCAGCCAATCGCTAAGAGAAACCAGTTTGTTTACATTTATGGGAGATAATGCTGCCCGCTTATTTACAATGTCACCTGTGACGTTTGCATGGCACTTTTGTAGCCGGCATTGCAAGGTATTTATGTGCCAGATATGCTAAATATTCATATGACCCTTCATGCTTTGGCCACCATTCCACAGGACATGCTTCCATGCTGATTACACTAGTTAAAAAACTAGTGTGTTAATTAAATTTGTGACAACTTCTCGGGGGAGAACTGAATGTCTCCTGCTCTGTTTTACCCGCATACTGCCATATATTTCATGTTATAGCAGTCTCGGATGATGACAGAACATGTTGTTCGTTTTAGGAACACTTTCACTGCAGATTTAACAAAACGCAAAGTAGTTACCAATGTAGGATTTTTAAAGATAGCTACAGCACTCGACCCAAGGTTTAAGAATCTGAAGTGCCTTCCAAAATCTGATCGGGATGGGGTGTGGCGCATGCTTTCAGAAGTCTTAAAAGACCAACACTTCGATGTGGAAACTATAGAACCTGAACCACAAAAAATAAAATCAACCTTCTGCTGGTGGCATCTGACTCAGATGATGCAAAAGAACACGCACTGGTCCACGCTGCTTTGGATCCTTATCGAGCAGAACCCATCATCAACATGGATGCATGTCCTCTGGAATGGTGGTTGAAGCATGAAGGGACATATGAATCTTTAGCACATCTAGCACACAAATATCTTGCAATGCCGGCTACAACAGCGCCGTGCGAATGCCTGTTCTCACTTTCAGGTGACATTGTAAATAAGAAACGGGCAGCATTATCTCCTGCAAATGTAAACAAAACTAGTTTGTCTGAGCGACTGGCTGAACAAGAAGTAGGACTGAGTGGACTTGCAGGCACTAAAGTTTTACATTGCTTTATTTTTTAATGCAGTTATTTTTTGTACATAATTCTTTATTTGTAAGTTCAACTTTCATGATAAAGAGACTGCACTACAGTACTTGTATTAAGTGAATTGAAAAATACTATTTCTTTTTTACAGTGCAAATATTTATAATAAAAAATAAATATAAAGTAAGCACTGTACACTTTATATTCTGTGTTATAATTGAAGTTAATATATTTAAAAATGTGGAAAACATCCAAAAATATTTATATAAATAGTATTCTATTATTGTTTAAGCAGGGCAATTAATCACAGGATTAATTTTTTAAATCGCTTGACAGCCCTAGTTATGCTTGTCAGATAAACATGAATGTTGCGAGACTTGTGTTTGCAGTGTGCTGAAAGGTGTTGCATGTGTACAGTATTATTTCAATCCTAGTTTTTTCTATGGCGACAGAGAAGAAAGCATTTATTATCATGAAGAAATCTAAAACATCTTAATGACACACTGCTTAGCTGACTTGGAATGGTGCATTTAAAACTATGAAGTCTGGTTGAAGACTTTTATAATTTAATTCAGAGTGTTATATCACTCCAATATATATTTCTCTTTATAGTAATTTCAAGTTTCTGGATTGACGTTTTCAGATACTTGGGAGGGAAATTTTCTTTTTTTTTTTAAGCAGCACACAGAAAAGTGAGCTTTGGCAATAGTTTGATTTTTTTTTCTTAGATTTAAAAAAATATTGTTGCAGTGACTGCTTTATTATCCTAGTTGTTCAATAATGTATTATTCCTTACTTTCAAGAGATATGCAAATAATGAGTTTGGCTACTGATGTTGCTATAAACAGAGCAAATGCTGCAACAGTCATTCTCATGTGATTTTTAAGATTATTCAAACAACTATGGAATACCGACAGACTGAAAAATACTGCATAGAAAAGAATGATATTTGAGGGAATATTTTTTCTTGTTTCTGAAATGGACTTTCTCCAACTTAAGAGTTATTTTCAACTACACTGTCAAATTTAAAATAACTTATTTCAGCTACATCTCTGCAATTATGTAATGTCTGTGCCCTTTATTTTCCTTTTCATTCCAATTTATATTAAATAAGCAAACAGCTTTTGATCTAATATTTTATGTCCTTTGAATAATGGTTCAAAATATAAACTGTCAGTTTGAATAAGGGTTCAGAAAGAGTCTCCAAAATCCCTATGAGAAAATAAGCAGCTATTGACTTCTAAATGTATTAAGCTGAGCAAATATTTAGCTCTTATATATAGCGCTTTTTCAGTCAAGATTTTAAGCCACTTTACAACCAACATATAAATATAGATCAGGAAACAGAGGCACAGAGCCTAAGTGCTTTGCCCACGCTCACACAGTAAGTCAATGACAGAAGTAAATACTTACTTGCAGAGGAAATAAATCTTTATGTTCACTTAAATTAGATGTCATTTACTGTTACAGTTTTTGAATATTTCTCATTAGAAATACCTAAAAGTCTCCTCCTTATAGCCACACATTTAAGAAGTATAATATCTTTTCTGTGAAAAGAAGTCCAAAGAAGTGGAGAGAGGTTAAGAAGCCTCTATTTTCATCGGCTAGTAGGTGAACAGCAGTTTTCACTGAAGTCATATGTAGCAAATTAGGATGAATTTCTTTTATATATATATGATCTGATTAACACTGTTCCAATCCTCTGCATGGACCTCCAAAGTGAAAAAACAAACTCACTATCTCTCCCATCACAACTTCTTTTTCAGAAAGTAAAACAGATTACTTTCCTGTTTTTTTTATATACAGTCAAATTAGATCTAATTTTGTAGAAAGCTCATAAGCGTAACTTCAAAGATGAAACCCTGCCCAGACCCCTCTGAAACGTGAAGTAATCAATACTGTACACCCAATATGAAAAGCCTTTAAATATTACAATACAGTGCAATGTTCTAATGACAGTAGCTGGTGGCAGGGACTAGCTTAGTAGGATTTTAGCATGGGCCTCAGCTTCAACATTTAGGTGGAGCAGCTTTTCTTGCAGATACTTCAGTAGGTTTTCTTCACTGTTACTGAAGGCACGGAGCAAGTCCTTGTGTGGCTGCTAATGTGTTTGTCAGGTGACCACTTAAATATTGCAAGTTAACATAGGAAAACAATCTCAGAGACTGAGTTTTCATCGGTCAATTTGATTGACCATGGGTAGTAAGTGACCACAAATACAGGTTTACTACATGTGAATGAATAAAGGTTGTCTCACAAATCTGAATGTTAATTACTGGCAGTCTCTGGTTTCTACAAATTTACAACTGCTAAGTTTATTAGCACTATTTTCTCAATTTTGCACATCTGAAGGATACGCACAACTATTACAACCCATTAATTATTGGTTCAATCATAACTGCAAAATCAATTTCTAAACATAAATGTTTTATTTTTTTTTACTAAATATGGATGGTACAGAGGAAACCTACCACAGTAGCCAATGTAATACAGAAATAAGTGAGTACAGTATTTTAATGTTAATATGGAAAGCGCTAACACTGCAGTGCAAATATCCCACTCAGTATAGTTTTGTTCCATTTTTTGTGTAATGACAGCCTCTGCTGTACAAGTGGTTTTTGCTGGTCCCTAGCGTGGTGGTTTTAAAACCAGTTTTAGTGAGGCAATAAGTAAACACAAGGCAAGTAATATCTTTTTTCTTTGTATATGTACAGTGCTTGGCATAATGGGCTCCTAGGAAATACAGTAAAAAAGTAGCTAAACGAATTTAGCTAAATCCAACCACTATTAAAAAAGACCTCTTAGAAATGGTGATACCACCACACTCACTAGACCGATTACTATAATACTTTACATTTATATAGGATCTTTCAGCCAAAGAACAAAATAAAACACTTAAACACATTATGGGGAAATGGAAGCACAAAGGTAAAAACGATTTGTCCAAGGTCACAAAGAAAGTTAGTAGAATTAATTAGTCCTGACTCCTCAGCGCCAGATTAAGCCCATGGCTTGCTCAGCAGGTTAACAGGAGGGCAGCCGCCGGACCGATGTCAAACTGAAGTGCTCAGAGCCAGCGAAGCACGACGGGGACCCATAATTATTTTCTCTCAATGACTCAGATCAGGTTTCCTTGAGCCACAAGCAAAGGGGGTGGTTTTTCCAGCTACCGGCGATGGACGAAGGCAGGTAAATTTAAATTCTGCTGACTCCTACATCACCCCCGTCCCAGGGGCGAAGACCAGGCAGGGCCGGCTCCTGTCCCAGAGACACCTATGCGGCCCCTTACCCCCCGTGGGGTGGTGGCAGAGGCAGGACTCGGCGCTGCATCTCCGCACAGGGGGGTTTGCTGTACGCGTCGGCCGGGGACACACCAGGGCGGTGGGAGACGAAGCCCCGCAAGCAGGAATCCGTGCCCCGCCCCCCAAAGAGGGGCGAAGCTCCCCGTTCCCTGGCTCAGGGCTCCCTACACAATAGCGTCCCAGGGGCGAGGGCGGGTCTCGTCTGGTTGCTCCGGGCTCCACCCCAGCGAGACGTCCAGGACGGGAAGTCCCGGGGAAAGGGTAGGAGGGGGCCGGACCCCGGCTTAGAGGCGGTCGGGAAAAGCAGCCGGCTCTAGGAGATACCCGGGGGGGGGGGGGGCAGAACAGACCAAGCCGCCCGTTGCCGGGGGTGCGGCGAAGCGGCCGGGGTGTGTGTGGGGGCGACCGCTTCCCAGGCGGCAGAGTCTCGGGAGCGGCCGCTTACCTTGGCGAGCATCTTCTTCAGCTGGGGCTCGGACAGCGCCATGACAGCCTCGCCCCCCTGACCCGTTACCGTTGCCGCGGCGCAGACGAGAGAGCGGCCTAGCGCGCGCCTCCGGCTCCTCCTCCTGCATAAACAGGAAGCTCACCGCGCTCTACGCTTCCGGCAGGCCCCACGTCCGCCGGCCCACACGTCACTTCCGAACTCGGGGGCGCTTGCCCTCATCACGTGACAGAGGGGAGTTCAGGCAATACTGGATCTCGGCCGAGAGCTTCGGAAAGGTCATGTGACATGCAGGGGCGGGGCGGTCACACACTTTTAGACCTGGGGCGGGGCAGGGCCGCAAGACGTGGAAAGTGGTTCATGGGCAGCACGTCTACGTTTAAAAGTGGTTTAGCTGAACCGGTTCTGAACGTTTCCCTTGCAGGGACCTTGCCTTAAAGAGTGTGTCCACCCTTCAGCTGAAGCAGACTGGGCCTCACCCATAGGGGCAGCACCACCCCAGTTGCAAGGGGACCAATGTCACCAGCAAGTCCAGTTCACCTTCATCCATGCACCTGAGAACCTGAAGGCTCCTCCACATCTACTCACAAGCCCTTGCTGGCCACAGCACTACTACATGACTGCAGTGTAGCATCTGGGCCCAGCTCTTACTGGGGTAGTCTATTTTTTGTCAAGGTCCAAATTTCTTGGAGAAGAAGAGAAGAAAATAATAATAAAAAAAGATAAGTATATTCAAAGATTTTAGGGTCTGTTCCAAAGTGTCTGGTGGACTAGATTTAGCCCACAGTTCGCCTCTGACTACCCCCGCTTTAAGCCACAGGAGCACATCAGGAGAGCAGCCCCTTCTGTAAACACATGTGCATGCTAAATTTTACACCCAGAAATGAGTCTAGAAGATAGAATAGATTAATATATATACAGCATAGGTATCAAGTTCTGTATCCTTTATTACTACCACTTCATAACAGCGTACGGACGAAGCTTATTGCTGACAGCTGTAATGTAAACAACAAGACATTTCTCCCATTCACTACAAGGGTAGTTACAAATGGCATTTTGTTTGATTTGTGATTAATATTTTAATACAAGAGCACACTTACCATAACAGTATTAGAGTTAATGAGCATCTCCTATTATCTTGGTGCCTGATGATTTTCTTTAGTTGAGACCCTTTGATATGGTACGTTGGACAGCACATGATCACTATTCCAGTCCTCCTATTGTCTACTGCATTTTTGATTAATTTTTCTAACAGCCTTCGCATAAGTAATTCATTTAGAGGCATAACAAGAATCATTAGATCTTGAGAACCACAAGGCATGAGAACCATGATTTAAAACAGAACTGAATGAAAGTACAACGACTCGATACTTCATGACACCCTCAACGCATAAGAACCATACTTTAAATACAGAATAATAGGAAAACAGTGCAATGTACAAGTTACATAAATTCAGTATATCTGAACCTAGATATCAACATTAAGAGTTTTGCAGCAACACACCAACTGTTTAGTATACTGGAAATGGCTGGCCAACTAAAATCCCCATTTTAGAGGCCCTTAATAGGAGGCCATGTCTTACAAGTACTTTGGGCATCTAAAACTCTATTTTTCCCCCACTGTTTCTGAAGAACAAGAATAAGTGTCATACAACAGATGCCTTTTAGTGCCATTAGTCTAAAAGTGACTTTAGACAATTTCCTTCTTGCGACAATGTAAAGTGCCATATAATGTATTTTTAAAGCTGCAATCCCTTATTTTTAAATAAAAATTGGAAACTTCTGAACAATGGCATTTAATAGATTTAAAAATTAGATCAGATTTCTGAATTATTATGAGTGCTAAGTACCATTTATCCCAAAAAGTGCCAATTATAAGAGGACTGCAGCTTTTTACAAAATAAGATACAACATTAAGGTACAAAAATGATCTATTCTAGCTAAGTGTAGCCCTCTTTATGAACAATTTTAATGCTCAGGCAATAAGAATGGTGATTCCATTAAAGAAAATGTAGTTTTCCTATTTTTGGTCTCAATCCTGAGATCACTCAGCATATCACAACTCCCACTGAAGTCAATGGGCTAAATCTTGCTCCCATCGATTACAATGGAAACTGGACTTGTAAATGATACATATCAGGCCCAAAAGGTTGTTGAGGGTACTAAGCCTCTTCAAGACTGGGCCCTTTCTGAGGTATAAGTGTAAGGCACAACAAGTATATCAATCTAATTCCTTCACATATTGTATCTTTACCAACATAAAGCTTCAATGGTATTTTAAGAAATACATACCAGCACTTTTAGAGTTAGGTCCACATTTTCTCCTTTACTGTATTTGGTATCATTAGTATTCAATTTAATACTAAAGTCTATATACAAGATGAATATGCTACTTTTCTATTAGGAGTGTAACATAATGAACAAGCAAAGATTATTTAAGAAGTCGATAAAACCACTTGTAGCAACATGCATTCTTTTTTGGTTTATTTTAAACACTAGTATCCTGCTTTTTCTGTACACCCCTCACCCTTATCAGCCAGGGGTGTCTCCCTACTCAGATTCAGTTGCCTTTCCTCACTTTATTCCTTATGAACCTGATCCAAATCCCACTGACATCAATGGGCTTTGAATCATATATTTCCATGAATTAATTATGCCCCCAAGCCTTATTTACTTCTATATTACTCAACTGTCAGATTGTCCTTTATTCCCACCTCCCCCCACACAAACACCTCACCGCTGTATGCAGTATCTTTACCAATGTTGTACTTGTTGGAATGCCTCTAGTGTTTAAAACAAAAGAGTTATTTCTAATACATAGCATAAAAGCACCTAAAGTATCTGTAAAACATACAAAACAATTCAAATAGAGAAAAATTCTAGGAAAAAAAGCTCAGACAATTAAATGAACATACAACAGCATTCATACCCAGTGCCCAAAAGCTCAAGCTCAAAGGTGTATCATTAAAAAAATATTTTCCATTTTTCCTAGCAGTGTTCTAGTGTCAAGTTCAATTACATGAAAACAATAAAGTGCTCTACCTTTATCGTGTCTGTTAAGCATGAGGATCATTTTAGTCAATGCTTTACTGCACTGAATAGCTGGAGTGCAATGGTGTTCTAGTCATGCCCCCTTCACTGAAGGTTACAAGATGACATACTGCTTCTGTAGTGGCTCTGCACCACGCAAGGATTCTCCCTACACTATAGACACTTCCAGGTAGATTGTTAAGTCAGCTTTATAACCTATTTGTCCCAGCAGAGGGCACAACGGAAACATAGTGAATGTGAAAATCAGGCCTACATGGTGCATAGCTTAGTAACAAAGACTGCAGGCAAAGCTACTTAAATCTTGACAAAAAAAACATAGTTGTACATTATCCTCTTCATTTTGACTACAAAAGCTACAGCATAAAAAAAAGGTTTCAATTTTGAGATGTTCTCTTTGTTACATAGTTTAACTAATGCTTTGAAGGAGTGACACAGTTGTGAAAGGAAATGATAATTCTTCTGTTTGCAGAAACCTGTATCTACCAAGGAAACATTTTTCCTTATCAAACCCAGCATTTTCATGAGCAGATATTGCATGATTCCATTGTGTTTAAAGTTTCAATTGCTGTTGAAGGTCATGAATTGATGCTGCACTGCTTTGCAGTTTTTTTGCCACCAACTTATCCTCCTTCAGTGGTTTGATAATTTCAGTCACTCCATTGGTTCCAAGAATACATGGCATACTTAAAAATACTTCACTGTTTATATTGCAACACCCCTGAAATAGTGAAGACAAAAAGAATGTACATAAAAACAACTCTAAGTTCATTAATCTCCATTCCCCATGCCCACTATAAAATACAAAATTACGTACGTTAACAAATTTAAATATGCAAGGATAATTCATCACAAGACATGCTTTGTTTAGCTGACAAGCATAGCTTAGGTTTGTTATTTATAATACTGTATAGTAGATTAAATATTCTGTTTTTTAAAAAATCTTAGTAATAGGACATCAACATTTTGCAACTAAAATTAGTTGGAATTTTATAAGTCTTGTTTAAAATAAAATTAGATTTTTGTTCAAATCTTGCCTAGTATCTGTACAATCTATGTTCATCTCAAGACACTATTAGTCACTCCCATACCCAAGTAGCTATTTCACATAACAAGTGCTAAAATGTTCCCATGATGAGAGGAAGAAATTAAGTTTATGTACATAATGAAACACAAATAAGCCTTTGTAATCTCAAGCACAAAATGGATCAGTCACCAATGTAGGAAGTTCACATACCTTGTAAAGCAAAGAAAAAGTTTCCATGCTGTGTTCTAATATAAACAACCTATTGCTTTAACTAAGCCTTTTAGAACAAAGTTTAATTAAAATCTAGTCTGAGATTCTGTTTAGTCAAATATAAGCATATCCTCTCTTCCCTGATCAGAAAGTGAGAAACTAGAAAAAAGTTTGCTTCCTGATTTGACAAATACAGTAGTGAGAAAATCTACATCAGATTCTTCTAAATGGAGTTGAAGACTTTTAGCCTTTGGGGAGATTTGCATTCAACATCAAGCACTTTGAACCATGACACACATCTGCCTGTTATTTTGCCAAAACTAACTGTGTTAATAGCCTTGATCAGTGGTGAGCTGGACACCAGCACTGTACATGTTGCATCTTTCAACTCCTATATTTTGAAAGTCCACTACAGAGTGCAGTAATTGATTTTTGCTCATTTTCAGATGGATCCTAAAAGCTAGGTGCCTGTTGTAGGAAGAAAGTAACTAAAATAGTTTGTCTGCAGAATGGCTGGTCAGGACTAAGGTCTATATATGGCTACAATTAACATGAGTAATAGGATTAAAGGCACAATAGAAAAATATATGAAATTAATACCATATTTACCTTTGCCAGAGTTGATATGGAATGAACCTTTCTTTTATTTTTCAGTATACTTTCAATCAGATCAGCTATTGACAGCCCAACAGACCAGGACTTTTGACCTTTTCCCTTAAGAACTTCCATGGCTCTACATAACAGAGAAAAATGTGGTTTTAGAAATTTCTTCAGTTACCTATGTTTTGTTCGACACACAGTATTCCATAAACACACAAAAAGTATTGCATAGCATATGAACACCGCTGTCTACTTCTCTATAACTTGCTTTCTAAAGCAATGCTTTATTTCCCAATTCTACAAAGATCACCATTTTTTAAATTCCTCCATGCAAATGGTAAAATTTTGCTAACTTAATAAAAGTTATCATGGCAGACATTTTCCTAATGTCTATGAAAAGCAATGTTAAATATATACCCTGTTCACTATAGTGTATTTTTGATTAAGAAGTGCTTTGAAAACCTCAGAGGGAAGGTACTAAATAAGTGTCATGTCTTAGGATTATGAACAGCCTAGCCTACTGCATCAAATAAATGCTGATGCAAGGCATTTTAGTGTTAGTGTTGCAAACAGTTTAGAGGAGCACACACTTATTCTATTAACATTACCACTTAATTATATTTAGCCACTGGAAAAACAAAATTCAGAACTAAAAAATAGTCTTTTCCTATATATTCTAGGTATATCGATGACCTGAAAGCTTCAAAGAAGAATTGCTCATAGTAATAAAGAAAAGTCATATTATTCAGAGATTCTGAACTCTGCGGATTGGGAAAAAACACCTCTACTATTCTGGTAACAGGTTGGTGTGAATTTAAGTTTACTGTTGTAACAGTGTTACCTGTTCGCCAACTGCTCCTGAGAGTTATCATTCACTACTCGTTCAGTTTGATGACATGTTACTAAGTTAGAACCACTCCATGCAGGCACTAAATAAAATTAAAAACAAACTTTCATTAATGTTATAATATATTGGAATGATAAAACTTTAAACTGATTTTCTGAAGTGCATACTGGTACTGAGCCCTGAGCTCAGTTTGGTATCTTTCTGAGGTTGTAAATTCCATGGCAGAACTGGCCTAGAGAAACTGTTGTTCAAAAAAATGTTCCACATAAAGATTTAACATAATTTGTTACGCATTACTAAGTACACTATGTAGAATGGTGCAATGTGGCTTCTGTTGTCAAAGTTAGACACATATGGTAAAAGATAGTCTCAGAAGTGTTGGTGCAAAGAGAGAAGGGCTACAGGGAAAAAAACATACGTTTTATCTTAAAATTTCTCAGCATTCCTCTTGTTTGTTTTTAAACAGCTTCAGCATCTTATTTTTTTCACTCCCATCTCCTTTCTTAAATTTTAATATGCTTTTACCTTACCTACAACTTGTCTTTCCCCGCCCCCTTAATGCATGATGCTGCTACCAGTGTGGGTGGGTATGCGTATGCGCAAGGCTGATGATTATTATTGGGATGACAGCCTTATATGGCACAGGAAATAGCTATGCAAGATTGCTCACACTGTCCTGCCAGCACGTCTAAGCCCTCTAAAGGGACTAACTTTAAGGGCAAGAGGCTTGTTCAGTCTCCATTTCCATTTAATCTCTGTTTAAACCGCACACAAGGGGGACGGTAAGTGTCACGAAAAAAGATCACATTTGGTACGGAAACTTATCTACCAAGAACAGGACTGAACCCACCCATTCATTTTACATATGCTGCCAGACAGCTGTCAGATAGTAGTTTTCTGTCAACTCAAGTTGGATCTGAAGTAACTTAGAGGTGAAAGGTCCATACTCTATTACCAATTCCCTTAAAATCAACCAGGCCCCACTATCATAATTTCAAATAGGAAGATTGTCAAAAGAAAAATAAATTTTTGGGTAACACCTTTATGTTCAGTCCAATTATTGCAGAATTTGGGTATAAATATTTTCCCTCAGACTTTGCTGTAAAGTAACAGTGGAACAGTGGTAGAGTGCATTTGATTTGGCAAGCATGATGAAAGGCAATCCTAAACTCAAGATCTGAATATTAGATTCTTAGCAGACAGTTATCCAAACTACAAAAAAATTATCACAGAAACTACTATATTCACTTTCAGCAGAGACCCTCAGGAATGAATGGACCATGGAGACCAAGCTACTCTCTCACCCTTAGATGTGTCCTGCAGATCAGGATTGGCAGAGAATAGAGGGAGCCAATGTGCCTCAATGTGTAATGCATCTGATGTGGTATAATGTTTTCAGTTCTTTTCAACTCAAAGACAAATATATTATTGTTTAGCCTAACATATAGAAGGAAAGCTGGGAATGACAAGTCAGTTGAAAAGCCACCTGCTACAATAAGCTATCAAGGATAGTTTGAAGTGTGACAGAGATCAAATTCATGAAGACTGACAAATCTACTGTACAAATTAAATCTATTATTGCTTCCTTATAAATCAGTCTTTTGTATTTCAACTGGAAGTCATGACTTAAATGAGCCATACAAGGAAAACACTGACTCATAGAACAACTTTCACTATCAAAGGTTCACTATCAAAGCACTATCAAATGCTAAAAAAGTGTGTGCTCCTCTAAACTGTTTGCAACACTAACATTTTTAAACAATTATTTTTAAACTCTCATTAAAAGTTACTCTAAAGACAGTACATTGTTTTCTATCTCCCCTCCATGAAACACCATGGCCTATCAATATCTTTAACATCCAGACAACCTAGTTGACCCCAAAGTTTAGCTGCAATTTCCATTCTTCATATATACTCAAATCTCTATTACAGAATGCTTCACAGTTTACATTTATAATATGCCCATATTCGTTTTTTGGGTTTTTTTTAACCTAACTGCTTTTTCAAAAAATTGATTTCATTCTTTTGAGGACAACTTTTGGAAGGGGAAAGGGAGGTAACCCTCCTCTGAAGAAAAGACCACCGCTGCAGAGTTTTCAATTTAAGAGGAAAAAAACCTGACACTTAACAGAAAGGTAGCAGTAGCTGTGTTGTGTAGGAGCAGATGCCGCACGCTTGTGAATTAAAGTTTGATGTTTCTATTTGGAGTAGCAGTTTAAGCAGATGTGATAAAGAGCCTAGTTTGTTTGTTTTTTTAATTACTTTATCCTTCATATGTCACCTTCTTTAAATGTAGGGAGAAGCTAAATCTCACTGTATCCAGTTCTGTAAAGAGCACTCAACTCAATTCTATCTTCCTCCTCTAGACCCAAAACTCCTGGTTCCATTCTTGTCTCTGCTGTGCACTTTGGGAAGTCAATTACAGCCAGTTTGCAAAGGTTTTGAGCAACCACAGCTACTGTGAGCGTCCATATGAGTCAGGGGTCAGCACCTCTAAAAACATGGTATTCTCTGAAGTACTGACAGCCCTCCACATACTTTTACCCCCATGCATTCCCTTCCCTGAAAAAGAGACCTCCCTCTTCAATATCTTGAATGTAATTTAGTGTTATACCAAATAAACAATCAAAGCTGTACTTCTGTACATTTCTCCCCATTTGGACACACAGAGAAGATATTTGTTTGCTCCCATCCTGCTCTAGAATCTTGGGGAAACACCCTATAAACACTAACACTCTTCATAGGTTGTGTATTTTCCCCCTTTTCTAGAACAGTTCAAACTCTAAGTCAAAATCATGTATCCGTTTACCTTTGTCTTCCCCTCGTTCGCCGATAATCCAAGCCTCTTTTCCTATGGTCTGTGCTTTCAACAAGTTTGTGATAATATATTGGAATCTCTCAGTGTCTAGATTACAGCCAATTCCGATAACTCTGCTTTTAGGAAATGCACTCAGCTTCCATGAGACATATGTCATTATTTCCACTAAACATGGGACAAAAGTATGTTGAAAACAAAGAATTACTCCCAAAATTCAACACAAACAGCAAACTATAATTCACACTCAAGAAACAAGAGCCAGAACTTTTTATAACTCAAAGTATAAGCATACAGGACTATCAGCAGCTTACTCATTTCTAAAACGAGTCAGGCTTTGAAAATAATCATGTCATAGCTCGAGTAAAATATTAAGAAAACATCAGAAATTCAAATAATTTCTCTCACCACCACCACCCCAAAAACCCAAGCCCCCACCTTAAAGTTTCGTTCTCTTTCTATTTGGCAAATGTCTCCCCTCCTTCCTTGTTTTGAATGGAGCAAAAGGTAATCTTGCCAATTGCTCTAACATGTTATAGTAACATGTTTTAAGTGTGTGCGGATGGGTAGGTTCATGTCTACTTCTTCCTTCCCTACTTACTTAGTGTTCTGACACAAGAGCATGGAATTATGATAGGTTTATCATTATGAATGTGTTTCCAAAGAAACAATGGGCTAAGAATTTACGGGTAACATAAGGAGCTATCAACCAGAAGTTTTGATCATATTGTGTGTATATATCCTTACAGCATAGGGGAAGAGAGAGAGATCTTGTCACTAACACATTTGCAAGGTGCTCTGACTACAGTAGATGGGCATATCATAAGACTCTAGATAAAATGAGATTTAAACAATAGACAAAAACAAAACATATGCAAGAAGACTTTTGATATAAAAAATACTATCATTTCCCCCCCTTATCTAAACTATGACTAAGACAACATCTTATCAACAGCCTTTCCATATAAACAAACACATGGATATAGTGGTTTGCCCAAGTCTGAAGAGGGAGTCCATCTCAGAACTGGGATTAGAATTTAGGAGTGCTGACTCCCTGCTCAGTAGAGTACGTCAGGCAATAGGATATTCTTTAAATAGATCAGAACAAAAAACAGATACATGTAAAATACCAACAAACCTGGATGAGATGCAACAAGCAGCACACTATTTTGACTATAATGTGCTACTGCTGGGACAATTCCTCTGAATAGATCCACGTTGCTCTGTATGACACCAAGATACGACTGAGCATTACCCAGAGAATTAACGGTGAGCACTACCACTTTTGAATCAGCAGAAGTAGAAAAATCTGATGAACATAAAAAAAAAATATTTGAGGGTTTTTTAAAGTCTCATTTTATCAAATTATAGATATGTCAAGATAGACTTGGCACAAAAATGTTTTAAATGACCCATACTAAAACCAGTATATGTACGTTCCATTCAACACACAACTACTTTGTTTGCCTTTCCGCAAGAACTTTTAAGTTAACAGCTTTTTTCCTACAGTAGAATTGAACTAGAAAGATATTTCTATGTATCATAATCTCCGATCTACTGTGTTGAAAGTGTATACAGAGCTTTGTTTTGAAGCTGCTTTGCCTATTATATAAGGGTACTTTGCACCCTTCTACAGTACCTTTAATCCAAGAATCTCAAAGTATCTTACAAATAGTTACGTCCCATAGAACCCATGCAAGGTTGACATTATCCCCATTTATAAATGGAAACCTGAGAAACAGGCTGCAATTTGCCCACGATCATACAGAGCTTGCTGCACAGCTTGGAAGACAACCAGGAATCTGGACCGCCCAGGCTTTTACTCTAACAACTGGACATTGCTACCATATATTACATTAGCTTTTTGATATTTATTTCTTTATACCTTGCTAAGAAACTAAGAAGTAAAAACTAGCATTCTTCTCCTGCCATTATTTATTTGGCTCTCTAAAAAAGAAGTTCTCTCCTTTTTCCAACCCCCATCTAGCTGGGTATTTATACTGGGGCCATCGCTATAGTATCAGAGCACTGCATCCTGATAATCCTGGATTCTTGGTGAAGATCTTTATCCTCATTTCTTTCTTTCACATAGGGGCTTCTGTTCTTTTTGTCCTTCTAGCTCAGAGTCAAAGATGCTGACACTGTATCAAAGAGTTCTGGTGGCTTGGCATGAGGTGGAACATGGACAGCCAACTAAAAAAAAAAAGGATCTTACAAAATATATCTAGTAAATGAACTGAATGCAGCTAGAAGGTGCCTGATTGATAGCACAAGAGATATAAGCCTCTAAAAACAAAACAGATTAGAGTATTGGACAGGAGCAGTACCAGCTTCCCTAGACCATGCCACCAGTATATCACAGTCTTAATCTGCAGCCACCACTTCAGGAGATGAGAAACTATCAGAAGATAATGGGTGTTTAAAGACCCAGAATGAATTTAAATTAATGACCCAGAGGTGAAAGTTTCTATCACTCCCGAGGGTGATCCAGTTCCCATAAAGTAAATAAATATGTAAGTATACAGCAAAATAAAAATATCGAGCATACAGTAATATGTTCCACTACACAGGGCCGGCTCCAGGGTTTTTGCCGCCCCAAGCAGAAACAAAAACAAACAAACAAAAAGCCGCGATCACGATCAGCTCTACCGCCAACGCTTCAGTCTTTGGCAGCAATTCGGCGGCTGGTCCTTTGCTCTGAGAGGGAGTGAGGGACCCGCCGCAGAAGAGCCGGACCCGCCGCCGAAGAGCCAGACGTGCCGCCCCTCTCCGCTGGCCGCCCCAAGCACCTGCTTGCTGGGCTGGTGCCTGGAGCCGGCCCTGCCACTACAATATAAAAAATTAGTACCTTTGCTGATCTCTACATTTGGCAGAGCAAAGATATCCAGGTCCATTGTTCCTCCTTTTGCTGCACCTTCTGAGAGGTCCAAGAGAACTACCTGGTCTGCAGCACCCTGTACAAATAAATATATTTCAGCTCTGCAACAAAATAAAATGCAGTTTATTCTGATAAAAAGATGCTTCTGAGATTGGATCTCACTTTAAAAAGGATGTTAATTATGTTGCAAAAAAACCCCAAAACAGCCCACATCCAAATCACCAATGATTGTGTAATGTTAAATGGAAAATTGGACATCTGTGTTAGTAGTTCCATTGCCAAATAGTATATTAAACCACATACACAAAACCCACCTTAAGAGGGTTACACTCAGACATTCAAAGTGAAGGCCAAAACTCTGACTATTGTGCTCAAATACTGAGCACATATAGAAATACCCTATATTGTGAGAACTCAACAATATCTAGGGCACAACCTTGACAATATCCCTTAACTACAAATTTATGTGCTTTGAAGAATCTGTGCTCAAAATTAAGATGTTTTTTACAGCCAACAGCTGACTGTCGGACCCAATAAAGGATTACATTTGAAATGTGTAAAAGTTATGTTTTTAATTTAATATCTTTAAATAGGAAAAAGGTAAACTAGAGAAGCAACATCACAAATCATTAAAAGTACTTAAAATGAAGTCATTGTTTTTCTATTTTAAACACTAAGAACTAGGTTGGAGATCATTATAGGAATAGCACTAGATAATATTAATAGCTATTCTATTAAAAACGAGAAAGTACCTTTGCTGCAATTGCTAGTACACAAGCAATGCCAAGATCTCCTGCTCCAATCACAGTAACTTTGTTAAAGCCTCCATCTTTTTTCTGTCCACCCACCATAGTCTTTGAATTCATGTCAGTTTCACCTAAAATTAAAACAAAAAAACAATCAATCACAGCTGGTGGTTTTATAAGACACAGTGTAAACACATGTACTGTATGTGAAAGATAATGCCCGGGTCTAATCAAATCAAATTACTTTGTTTTCTCCAATAGGCTGGTCAGGCTATGGAAACTAATTTTTCAAGGCTTCCATTGAGTAAGACATTTTTTTCCACAGAATTATATTCTTACAATTTACATTTAAATTAAGTCTTACATCAGCAAGAAAAAAAATTCAAATAGATGCCTTCTCTACTAACCATCCTCCCCCAGCTCTGTACTCAGCTCTACCACTGAAATGCACTGTGACCTTGGGCAACTCACTTAATCTCTGTACACCTTCCATTTCCCCTGCTACTCTTTGTCCATCTTGTTTGTTTAGACTAAGATCTTTGGGACAAAAACTATCTCTGAACTGGTTTGTACAGTGTCTGGCCTTGAATACATGGAGCAGTAATGTGGATTACAGTGGGGGGTTATTTCTAAAGCACAATAAAGTGTTGCACATTAATTGGTCCATGTAGACCCCTGGTGGCGTGCACTAGGATTCCCTAATGCTATGTTAGCGCTGTTTGAAACAGTACTAACATTAAAGCTCACTAAGCAATATTTAGTGAGCTCCATATAGGTAAGCCCTCTAGTACAATCTTGGTTGGCAACTGTAGGCATTACCACCAGGGCCGGCGCAACCCATTAGGCGACTTAGGCGGTTGCCTAGGGTGCTAACATTTGGGGGGGCGGTGACCGCGGCGGCCGGATCTTCGGCCGCCCCAGTCGTCGTCAATATTTCGGGGGCGGGACCTTCCGCCGCCTCTGTCAGGGGCGGGACCTTCCGCCGTCTAGGGTGGCAAAAAAGCTGGCGGCACTCCTGATTACCACAATACAAATAATAATGATCCCTTTGATGCTACTACATGCACCAATGTATAATACTGCAGAAAGTGTTTTTGAAAGATTGAAAGACGGTTTTAAATTGCATTATCCGTAAGAGAACATGTAAATCAGCTATGTCCTCAGAAAGGGTACGTTTAAGGTAAAGGAAAAATAATGAGTTTTAGGAAAATGTAACCACTACAAGTTATAAGTAATATTTATTGTCCACCTTGAAAAGATAAAATAAAAATAGCTAAAAGCATAGATAAAACTGATATTGATTCAGATCTGCTGAAAAATTACACACCTGTAGTTATCTTTGCAATATAGGATAGCAGTTCTAGCTGCTTGGCTTCATCAGAAGATGATACTGAATACAGAGGTAGCTCTTCCTCAAACTTTTCAATCATTTCTTTGATTAATCCAATGATAATTGACTTTGGCTGGAATGCATACGTATAGGAGAAGACTTACAATCTTTACTAGCTATCATGATAAAACAGCATGCCCATAAACTGCAGTAATTTATTAGCAGGTATCAAGAATCACTGTATACATTTAGCTAAACTACAAATATCAACCTTTCAAACCAACTTTTAAGATAGAGGAAAAGTAGCACTGCCAGTTAGTATATTTCTATTTTATTTTTAATACCTTATTAATACAAATATAAATATGTAACTATGGGAGTATGGATTAGAATAGTGGAGAATATAGAGACTGAATTAAAGATGCCAAACACTAGGGTTACCATATTTAAAAATAAAAAAAGAGGACACTCCATGGGGCCCTGGTCCCGCCCCTTTCCCACCCCGGGCCCCACACCAACCCCGCCCCTTCCCCGCACCAACTCCGCCCATTCCCCGCCCCTTCCCCAAAGTCCCTGCCCTAACTCCCCCTCCTCCCTCCCAGCCACGCGAAAAGGGCTGCCCGAGCGCTACCAGCTTCACGGTTTGCCGGGCAGCCCCCAGACCCTGCGCCCCTGGCCGGCGCTTCCCCAGCGCAGCTGGAGCCCGGGAGGCAAAGTGCCCAGCTGGGGGCACAGGGAATGAAGGCTGCCCGGCAAACCGTGAAGCTGGTAGCACTCAGGCTTCGGGCAGCCCCCATGCCTCTGGACCCCAGCCGCCGGCCAGGCACTTCCCCTCCCGGGCTCCAGCTGTTCTGCTCCTCCCCTGACTCTTCGGCTCCGTTTAAGAGCCAAGCTGCCCGAGCGCTACCGGC